CAAGCCACACCAACAGGGCACAGTCCACTGTGGACTTGGGGCCAGCATCGCGGACTTTATGGGGCAGGACACACAGCAACAGGAAAAGACAGGGTAAAAAGCCGAGTGCCTCGGACTCGAAAGCAAAAACAGGAAGCCGCTCGGTTGACTGCGCAAAGGCTTCCAGCTTTCGGCGTCACGACCCGACGTCTCCCAGGAGGCCAGAAGTCCGAAATGAAACCTTCGCCACTCCGCCTAGTCAAGCCTATAGCCGCCCAACTTTAGGTGGGGTTTTAGCCAGCTCATTTGGTCCAGCTTTTGACAACCTATACAACACATCCCTGGCCTCTCTTGTATTCCCGTCCTCCAAACATTCAGCAGAATCCCGCGTATGTCTAAGGTCCCGGCTGGAATGGCTGCAGGTCCTGTACCACCTGGATCGCTTCGCCCGGAACATGGCGAGCCGCCAAAGTCACATGGCCAAAGTTCAATTCCAGGTCCTAGTGACGTGGTGCTGTGCCACGCTTGCTTGTGTTGTGAAAAGTTGTCATCGACTCTCTTCTGCAGGCAGCGATGTCTGCAGCTTGGTCTTCCTTGTATCAGAATACACCTACTGCTTGCTTCGGTCTGGTCGCCTAGGCAGAGACTTAGCAGCTTAGTGATTAGGGGGAAATCCTGAACTAGCCCGTGTTCGATGTGGTGATTTTGGAAACAGCTTGCGGCAGTTGTTGTGAACGAAAGTTCGACAGGTTCCGCATCCCATGAGCGTGTGGTGGGCCTAGCTGCGTGGGCCTCGCTGTCATGCTGGCCACAAGACTTGCACGTCTTTCATGAAGCAGGGCCGCAGCGCAGATGAAACGTTTCGAAGTTCTGAGACCCAGCTCCATGTTGCACATTAAGGGGGGGTGGCTTCGCAGACGCACAAGTGATCCGGAACAGAGCCGGGCTCTGCAAGAGACACAAAGGCACAGTTCGTGGGTAGTAACTATTTTGTTGGTGCCAGAATGCATCAAAAAGCTACCAATGCGCCTGTGCAGTTTTGCACAGATCCGCCGGTTCTGAGAGGTCACGGCTGTGGTCTTACGAATGCACATGCCACTGCCAAGAAAACTCACTATAAGCAAAAAAGAACAGACAAGAGCAGACGCCGCGTAAAGCGGAAATGCACATGAATTGGAATATTGGATGATATTGAACTTGAACGCTTCATCTTAGCCAGCAGTCTGCACTCGCCTTTCTGATTTTGTACAGTCTGCTTTGGTTCAGCAGCTCAACTTCAGTTCTTTGTACATCGGTATCACTAAGACCAATCATGTCAAGAGAAGTCCACTTCCACTCTGCGTCGACAGTCAAGTTGAACATATCGTCATCGCCCCTGTGCCTCAGAAATGACTGCAGAATCGAGGTGATTGCCGTCAATGTCTTCTGACATCAAACCTGCAGCTTAGACATTCACGGCTTGCTTGCGAAATTTCTTCTTGAGTGCCTGTGCAGGCGAGGTGGTCACATCTCACATCTGGAAGACAGCGGCCATCACAAACGCTTAAGCAGCATCAATCTCACCCTGAGTTCATGGTTGTCGGTGTCATTTGGGAGTCGACATTATGTGAATGGTGTAACCAAATCTCAAAACCACAACACGCTCAGAGCGTTTTTTTGCACATCACAGCAGTCCACGTCCACCTTTGGCACTTTGTCCTTTCTCTTCTCCCGCTTTTCCTCCTTCACCTGCAGCTTAAGATGCATCAACAGCGAGCTGAAGCTGACACCACTAGGCCTTTCGCTTCCACTCCGCCTGCAGAAGTGCTGGCTCCACGTAAAGGCAACCACTTTTTCTGGCCTGCCTTGTCCATTCCATCCGGTCTGTGCCTCGACTGCCAAAAATTCTGACATGCTTCTTGGGCAGACTTAGGAAGCAATAGCCTATAGCCCCACACTCATGGCGGCTGCCCCATGCTGCCACACTACCGGGGCCCTGGCCCATCATTCTTGGCTCCTTCCTCCAGTTCCGAGCCAGAGCCAGCCTCGTCAGGGTCCTCAGGCTCGTCGTCGTCGGTGTCGCTAGTGTTCGCAATCTGCTTCGCTTCGCCCGGTGCTGGTTCATCCTGGCGCAGCCCCGCAACGATGCTGTGCGGCAGCTTGAACACGTCGAGATGATCTGATATGATCTGATATTCATTGCAGGTCCTGTACATTCCGTTCGTCACTTGCTAGAAGTCGTTCATAAAGCACCTGAGGTAAAGTTTTGGGTGCAGCTGCGACTGTGCAACATGGAGCCAGGCGAAGGACTTGGGTTCAGGGCCCGTGCCTCCTCCCCGCGCTCCCTCTTTTCAAGCTCCCGATCCAAGAACCGTTGGTCAGAAACCTGCTGAATCTTGCTCCGGTCACTGTTGCCGTCTACCTAGGACCTGTAATCCACCTCTCCTCCCGTCTGACTCCACACGCCTGATTCAGATTGCTTGGGATCCAGGTTTGGATGAAGACCTCACAGTATCACAAGCCAACTGCTCGACTTAAACATGATGCTGCTGGCCGACTTGTGGGCACCTCGTCGTCTTCATCTTCTTGCTGAAAGTCACCGTTCTCGGCAGCCTCCATCAGTGCCTGTACCGAGCAAGTTCAAGGACACTGCAGTATATCAGCATTGTCTAATACCACTTCTTGGTGCTGCTACTGGCACTAGTGGTACTACTGGTACCACACTCCCCGCAGACCCGTTCGCGAGCTCACTGATCAGCAGTCGAAAGCATGCAGAGCGGCAAAGAACGTTTTGACCACTCTGGCATGGGGGCGAGCGGTCCGTCGAGCATCAGAACGAACGAAACGAAAGAGCCCCGACCAAAAGCCCCGAAACCACTGAGCCATCCCGAGAGAGAGCATCAGCGGTCACATCGCTCGAAAGAGCAATCGGTGCAACCTTCGCGGGACCGATCCCCCAAGTCTCGAACTAGTCTTCACGACTGACAAGACCAGAAGCGACCCCCCTCGTTCAAAAACAAAGGGCGGGCTGGGTGGGACAAAAACAGATCCTTCCCGGACCTTCGAGGCGATCGCCTCGACCCAAAATGGCCACGGGAAGTTCACATCTGAACAGAACTGAACGAAAAGAGCAGACTGCAGATCGCATGCAGGAATGTGACCCTCCTATCCCAGACCTACCTACCCGTTGATAGGAGAACCACACTCCCCGCAGACCCGTTCGCGAGCTCACTGATCAGCAGTCGAAAGCATGCAGAGCGGCAAAGAACGTTTTGACCACTCTGGCATGGGGGCGAGCGGTCCGTCGAGCATCAGAACGAACGAAACGAAAGAGCCCCGACCAAAAGCCCCGAAACCACTGAGCCATTCCGAGAGAGAGCATCAGCGGTCACATCGCTCGAAAGAGCAATCGGTGCAACCTTCGCGGGACCGATCGCCCAAGTCTCGAACTAGTCTTCACGACTGACAAGACCACAAGCGACCCCAGGCCCAGACCATTTTACGCGAGAGCGGATGGCCATGAGCACAAGACTGTCAGCCAACCGGCCGCCTCGCCGATCGCGAGGCAATCACGAGACGGCCAATCAGCGGGATTAGCATCCGTGGATACACGGTCAATGAAGAAATTCACTCTGTACTTGAGCGAGAGCTCCCAAAAGATCTCGACTAACTCACAGAGATCCTCCTTTGAGGAGTATCCCTTGACCAGGGATGCTTCCACCGACTCGGAATCGATCAGAAGAAGCACGTCACGATTCCGGAGGTGATCACGGAAGGTCTCCAGAGCTAAGATCGGTGCGATCATCTCGATCGGAACTATCTGGGTCTTGCGCGGCATCCATTTGGCAGAGATCTCTGCGTCGATGATCTCGGAGAACTGCTTTGGGGTATCTGCACGCCGATCGAACATCACGGCACCGACGCGATCGGGGCCGGCTTCTTTCTTCCGAGCGTCGGGTGTGAAGCCGTCCGTGAAGATCACCACGTCAGCTCTCTTCTGAGCCCGAAGAGAGATCTCCCGCGGCGGCCCAGAATTGATCAAGAACTTCCAGTAGATCAACGACCGCCTCAGCGCTTCGTTCAGCTCCATGCGATCCGAGCTGTGGTCCTTCGAGTACTGCCTCTCCGAGAGGGGGCGGAAGAAGGCGCGACCCACCTTCCCCCAGAGCTGGCTAGCCCCGAACATCAGCTTCCCTTTGAGCTTGCCGGCGCTTCCAGGGTCGAGCACACCCGACTCCAAAATGGAATCGATCGATTCGGTGAGCTCTTTCTTGCGGTCGTCTTTGATCTCAAGGAGGAACTCGTCCAAGTTGAACGTCACCCCCAGGATCACCGGGGATTCAGAAAGTTGGAGCTTCTTCTGGTCGAACGCCGCACCTAGGCAGAAGTGGATCTTTTCCGCAACGAGCTTCGCCGAAGATGCAGTCAGATCTGTCTCGAACCCATACTTATCGTCATAGAAATTAAAAGCGACCATGTAGAAGAGCTTAACAAACACATCGTTCAGGGCCGCCGATCGGCGGTTATAGTTGTAGACTGCCGACACGAGCCCGAACGAGTGGCCGATCATGACGAAGAACTTCGGTCGATCGTCACTCGGGTCCTTCAAACAGATGACACTGAACTTCCGATGCCGAGGGGCGATTGGGAGCTGGCGGTAGGCCTTGCGCTCGTCAAGAACCCAACCGCGTAGCGGGCGAGCGCCCACTCGAGTCCGAAGCTCGCGAACCACCGAGACATTGAGATCCGTGTTCGGGAGCTGCAACTTCTCGGTGATCACCGCCGTCTTATTGACAAGGTTAGAAGTGGCACTGTCACACCCTCTGACCTTGTTCTTTTGAACTACTTCGAACCGCTGTGTCGGGATCCAGTCTGAGCAACCAAGGAACTCTGTCACTGAACTTTCGTCCTGAAAAGGACCCACGGTCGATCCTTCCATGACGTCCTCCATAGTCGCTTTCCAGAGCGATTGCAGATTGTCAGAAACCGGCACATCCTGCCACCGTTTGTAGATCTTGGAGCGAAATTCCCAGGCCCTCGATTCAGCTTCCGCGATCGGCACCGGCGATTGCTTCTTCTCGTACGGCGGCCAACGACCAGACCTCTGGATCTCGCCAACGATCGGGAACCCCTGGCGAATGCCCTGCAAGAGAGAAAGGTCCTGACAGCGAGCGGCCGCGAGGAGCTCATCATAGAGCTTGACGTGCGTGCAGTGACCGAGCTGGAGATCAGCGTAATCTGGAGCACCTCGTAGGAGACGGCGAAGGGCCGGATCCGGAATAGCTCTGAGCTCACGGTCTGTGTCCGGCAACAAGGCCACGGCCCGAGCGTGCCAGTAGTCGAGCTGCTTGATCCTATAGTCGACCAGCCAAAGAGGGCGAGCCGCAATTCGATCAATGTTAGCCATGAGCTCGACCGGCACGTCGGGCTGAACTGTGAAGGGATGCGGGATCCCGAGGGCCCGGCGAATTGCCACGCCCGGTTCACACTCGACATCGAGCAACGGCTTAGCCGCACCACGTTTGAGCTGGTAGCCAGACGAGGCGGCCAAGCGAGCTGCTTGTTCTTGCCGATGACCTTTCCAGTTGACCGCCTGGCCGAGCTTGCGCTTGCGATCCTGCTTGGGCGCCACGAGCTCAAAGGAGGCCTGGAACTGGGGCAGGCAAGCGTTCACGACCTGTTCCACCAACTGTGCAAGAGCAGCAAAAAGAGGCAGCGGGTATTCCTGAGCCGGCTTGGTCGCGAAGACCCAAGACCCTTTCGCTTGGCGAACCTTGCCTTTGAGCGGAAGGTGCTTATGCTTACCTGAACAGGAACGACGCAAGGAAAGAAAAATCGCATTACTGACCAAGAATCTTGTAGGCTTGCGGGAGCTCGCACCGAACTCACACTGATCAAGGTCCAGGTTGTAGAGGTGGAACCGCACCTTGAGCTGTTGAAGAGCAGGAACTTGCCACAACAGACTGGTGAGAGGATTCTCGAGAGAGGCATCACCTCCTGCCACGATCGTCGCCTCGAGCAGATCGATGGAGCGCTGCATGAGCAAATTTGCGCGATCCAGCTGATCTTGAAATCTGTTGCCGAGACTGTGCAGACCGAGAGGTTGCGCCAGCGAACGCAGTGGCGGAGGACCGCCAGGCCGAGAGCGGGCTCGACTAAAAGTCGAGCAAGGGAGCCCCACGTGCAGAAATGCAATTGCACCAACACGGCATAGTAGCAGAACTCGCTGAAAGACCTTGTCATCGAGCAGGTCGACAGACTCGTAGACCTCGCCGGAAATCTTGACGTCGATCGGGGGGAGCACGAGCAGGCCGGCCGAACGCCACTGAGATGTCAGCCGAGCTGTCCCTGCAAAGATCTCAAGAGCCCATGGGCCAAGATCCCGAACGACGTAGGGATCTTGTGGCACCTGTGACCAAAACTGCCAGGGCGGAGCGAAAAGAACAGAGGTGGCACTCCGCTTTGGAGCCAAAGCATCACTGGCCTCCTGTGTGGCAGGCGTCCCCGAAACGGCACCCCAGAGAGCAATTGTACCACACACATCGGCGAGCGCCCGTGTAGGTGAAGGCCATGAGCTTCTTCCATTCCTTTTCGGGGATCCGGGGATCGCGGTCGACCTTGGGCGTGAGCTTTGCGCCTGATGGTGGCTTGGTAGGAGCTCGGTCACGATCACGATCCCGATCTTCTCGCGCCTTCTTGAGGAGAGCTTTAGCTCTTTCTCGCCTGGCGCGATTCTTGCGCGAGCGCGCTTCTTGCGCCGTTGTTGGAGCTGGTGGCGGAGACGTCGAGCGCGGGCGCTTCGGTGGGACCGTGGGCTCGCGCTCCGCCTGTTTGAACTTGTCGAGCTCGGCGGTGGAGCGCGCATCATTCGCAGAGCTGCTTGTGATTCGCCAAGACCTCCTTAAGAGCTTTGGAGTAGGTCGGGAAGAGCTTCCGCTTATCGTTAGACAGCTTATAGACCTTCTTGCGGATCAAGGCATCGGCCGAAAGCAAGAGAGCCAGGCCGTGGTTCTCGCGGCGCCATTCTTCGAGCTCAGCCAGGTATTTGAGCGGCCCGGCGTCCACGGTGAACTCGCAGATGTTCAGGTACTCGAGCGCAATGAAGAAGGAGTGAAGCCGATCGATAACGTTGCTTTCCGAAGTGACCGCGACCTTGTTGTCTTGTTGGATAACCTTGAGCAAGTCGTCTGAGGTCTTCGAGAAACCGGTTGACTGCACGAGCTGGTCGGAGCGGGTGCGCATCTCGGCGACCTCATAGAAGGCGACCGGCCCATGGACCATGTAGGCTCAATGAACTTTCGGTGCGGCTCGCGCATGTAAGTGAGGATGACGTCAGGATGCTGGTTCACGAAGATCTCGCGGAACTCAGCATGGTCCTCACCGGGGATCTCAAGGATCTTCGATGGATCCTCCTCCATTTTGGCACGGCGAGCTGCCACATGTTCTTGGAGCGTAGAGGCTGACTTCCAGACCGCCGCCAGCAGGGTCAGCGAGAGCTCCTGGTCGGGGGGATCAGCGCCGAACTGCGTGTCATCCCCGACGATCGCCTTGAGAGTCGCCTTGACCGAGGTGATCGTGTCGCCGAGCATGGCCATCCGCTCAATAGAGAGCATGCCTTTGTCCGCCATGAGAAGGCATAACGGCTCCGGCTCCGGGAGCTTCTGCCGACCGAAGATCTGGCGCAGCGCGAGCTCCGGGACCTTGTCCTTATTCGGGTAGACAGCGCGATCCACCATGTTCCTGATCTAAGAAGGGAGCCAAAAGAAGAGCTGGCCGCGACCCTCAGCACAGTCGAGCAAAGTGACAGAACAATTGAGGCAGCAATCAGAAAAAGAGTTCCCTTTTAGTACTTACGCGAGAGCAAAACGTCCGGCCGAGCTTTAGCACAGAGCTTGCACAGCATCTTCGGATCCGGAAGAACAGATCCGACGTGCACAAACTCCGGGGTGATCGCGCGTTTACAAGCGATCTCTTCCACAGACTCAGCAGAACAAACATGGAATCTGTACTCATAGCTTGAGCCTTTTTCGGGGGCCTTGATGAAGAACTCCGTCAAAGTAGCCTCGCGATCGTCAGAGTCGTCGATGACGTCGTCTGCCAGAGCACACTGTGGGGTGAAGTCTTTGGAGATTTCAGCGACCAGGTCCTTGATCATAAGGGCCGGCAGTGAAGACCTCGAGCGAGTGTACTTGAGGACGAGCGGGCCCGGGTTCTTCCAATTCGCCTGGACCCCGATCTCCTGCTCTGCACGTTTGCAGTGGACTGCTTGATCCAGCATGGTCACACGAGCAGAGTGCCAGGTGAGCTTTGTGACCACGTCGAGGAACTCCTTGGCCACTCCAGCTTCCCGCCCTGCGTGCCAGACCAGATGGTGGAGCCACTGCAGCGATCGTGCGTAATCCGGCGGTGTCTCCCGCCACTTCTCCTTTGTTTCCAGATCTGGTATCCAGAAATCTCTCTCCACTAGAGGGAACTCCAGCTCGAAGAGCTCCAAGCCGACCTTGAACCATGTAGCCCGGGAGAAAGCCACGTCGGGAACCACGAACTTGGTTCCACGGCGCTTGCGCTCTGACTTCGTCTGCCACGAGACCCCAAAGAGACCGTCTTGCTTGACCTCGAGCTCGTGGGGCTTCACATGGATGGCATCATCGAACCTTAGTGATGCGAAGATCATGCAAAGAACCCACCAAATAAAGACCCGAGCGACTCTAGGGTGATCATTGTGTGCGACGAACCCTTCCATGGCAGCGACCAGCTCAACAGGGAACGGGTCCGCTTCCTTCAAAGGCTTGCCTCTCTGGGTGAAGATCTCCTTCTCGAGCGCTTTAATCTCGGCCGACTCGATTGAGGGGAGAGCGATATTTGTCCTGAATGAGACCCAGCGCAACGCCATCCGAAGGGATGGCAGCGCCGTTGGTCCACACTCCATGCCGTCGAGCTCTATGGCATACTTTAGGACCAGATCGTTTGTGATGGGATAGAACTGCGCTCCCGACCGATGGGCCCACGACTCGAACTTCTCGAATCGGCGAATATGGTTCATTGTCGAGGGAGCCCCTGAAGTGAAAACCAGCAACTGGAGGCGAGCTTTCTCCTCCGGAGAGAGCAGTCCGTGATCTGGGGCCTTTGGCTTCGCGTGATCACCTGCCCGATCTGCAATGGCCTTGAGCCTCTTAGCCCATTTCTGTTTCTCGGCATTCTCCTGATCGAGGAGCGGCGTGCTGGAGCTGCTCGCCGGCTTTTTCGCTGTCAACGAAGGGCGAACGCCAGGCGCCAAGACGGAGCCGCCAAGGCCCGAATCGCCATGTCTCGCTGGAACTCGGCAATCGAGAGCGAGCTGCGCTGACGCGGGATCTTCTCGCAGCGGGAGAACCCCATCTGGTAGCCGAGCGACTCTTCAAAGAGCGTCTCAGCGGCCTTTGCGAAGACGTAGAACTGCTCGAGCATCTGGGGCCTCGCTGCGAACACCTCGTGAGCCTCTGGAGCCAGCTTCGAGGTCCACTCGTACGCCTTTTGGGCGAACATACCCGGGGTCTCGACCTCCATTGCGAGCACTACCTGCAGATTTGCAAGCTGTGTACCCAGCAGAGCAGACACGAACGCTGCATCGAAACAAGGGTATGCGAGAATTTTCGCCGTCCATCTGTCTTGGGATGCTGTGACCTGCAGCATCCTCTTGGGAGCTAACTTGAGAGCGAGCTGCTATCGGCAGGAAGAACCGCCAACTGCGAGCTTGCATCACGAGCATCCCAGGAACGACGAACGAACGAGAGAAGGAGAGAGAGTGACTTCCCGAGACCCCCCCCTGCACGACAGCTGCTTGTGAAAACAGAACATGAACAACTGCATGCAGAGCAGAAGCGAGACCTAACAGGACATGCCGACCTGAACATGTGTAGTGCAAGCAGAGCTACTCAGTACACTTCGCGCGACCGAGCGGCTCGACTTTTTGATGCTCTTCCCGAGCGAGCTGTAAGAAGGTAAAGCGACAGCAGGCTACAGGAACTCGAAAACAAAATTAAATCGCTCGTTCTCGTGAGCTTGCGCCCTGAAACAAAACTGGGCGATCGCCACTTCACACCCTCGATCACGGTGTGCGGTGTGGCCTGAAGGAGGTTGGCTCACCGATCGGCCCAAGCAGATTCTGCGGCTCGTCCTGAGCAGGCTCCGCCTCGATCACCTCCCGAACCGTCAGGGTGGAGGTCTGGGCCGACGGAGCCGAGCGGCCGCCCTGCATGAACGTCGACCCTGGGCCCGTCATCTCTGCAAAGAGCGCCGGTGTGAGCTTGGCCGTCGATCGCGAGAAGGAGCGATCATCACGTGTCTGATCCCTGACTGGATCCGACACGTGACCACGTGTGTCCTCCTCGTCGTCCTGGTTGTAGTTGACCGGATCGACGGCCGAGGCGAACGCCCTGGCCTGAAGATCGTCCTGGGCTCGCGAGCGAAGCTGCACCTCGCCAGAGCCGGCCGGGACGTCCATCAGAGCACTGGCTGAATCAGCAGCCGAAGACCAGGCCTGCTGGGCGAGCGCCGGAGGCCCGCGGGGAACGGGAGCCACCGCAGCCCCATCATGTGACATCTCGGCGAGCGCCTTGACCGGTACGATCTCCGGCTCCCGCACAAAGAGCTTGCTCTCCGTCTGCACATGAAAATTGCCGGCGTCGAGCCCACCGACAAAGGAGACCAGAACTCCAGCCTTCGCGGGATCGAGCGTCACCGCACCATGCCACCAGTGCGAGTGAGCTGCTGCGAGCTGAGCGAACTGCTCAGTCTGCTCCGGACCTTCGACTCGTGCCCTCTGATCACGGCATCGAGTGATGGTCTGGATCAACGTCGGCCCGCTGATACGCGAGACCGTCAGCCATGTCACAGGCACTGAGGTGCGAGAGCACTTCAGGTCGATCTTGTTGTTGGCATCGCGAAAGCGAAACTCCACTCGATCTGCATCGTTCCCAAGAGCATCCTCTGAGGAACGATCAGCCACACGGAGCTCAAGGCGCGATCGCGCACTGTCACCAGCGACCACGGTGCCCTTTGGCCCGATCGAGTAGGTTCGACCACCGCACTCGAAGGAGAACACCGAGACCCGCCAGCCTGAAAAGGCCGCGATCACCACAGACAGCCGAGCACGTCCTTGGCGAACGCCTCGGATGAAGTACTCGTCAGCGAACTGTTGCTGGACCGATAGGTCCGTGTCCGCTCGGTACCCACGGAAAATCCAGTGAAAAAGGATCTCATTGCCGTTGTACAGCTTGACATCAGTGTACGACGGCGACGTGTCCCTGAGCACTGGCCACGTGAAAGGCTGAAAAGCCACGTGACTCAAGGCACGAGCTGTGTCGGGATCCCAGCCACCACAAGGAGCACCGGTCTGCGAGTCGATCGAGATCGCGACCGTTGGCTTGATCCCGTCGAGCGTATAGTTCGCGAAAAGCGACAGGTGAAAACCCGAGCTGGGTGGCATCACTTGATCCCGTTCTGTCAGAACATTGACAGAATGCGAGCTGTTGGTCATAATTTCACGGACCAACCAGGCCTGAAAAGGCGAAACGATGCGATCATCTCTGTTGTCCACCATGATGATGGATGTCTTTCGAGCATCGTCCTCGCATTCGGCGATCGACTCGATCAAGTCAGGGAGCCGAACATCGTAAGGGTTGTGAGCAGCCTGAGCTCGCGGGAAATTTCCGCCGCCACCCCTACGATCGTCCCTTCCGCGGTGACCGCCGCCAGAGCCACCTTGCCACTGATCACGTCGGTGACCACCTTCAGCCTGTCCCTGAGCAGGAGCAGGCTGATACCAACCTTGGTGATCCCAAGCAGGAGCAGCCATGGCTTCGATCCCCAGGCCCTAACTTCTCCTTCGCCACAAAAACAGATCCTTCCCGGACCTTCGAGGCGATCGCCTCGACCCAAAATGGCCACGGGAAGTTCACATCTGAACAGAACTGAATGAAAAGAGCAGACTGCAGATCGCATGCAGGAATGTGACCCTCCTATCCCAGACCTACCTACCCGTTGATAGGAGAACTAATGGTACTACTAGTACTACTAGTACTACTAGTACTGTTAATACTGCTAGTACTACTAGTACTGTACTAGTACTGCTACTACTACTACTACTACTACTACGACTACTACTACTACTACTACTACTACTGCTACTATTACTACTACAACAACAACTACTACTACTACTACTACTACAACTGCTACTACTACTGCTTCTACTGCTACCAGTACAAGTACAAGTACCAATACTGGTACCATTACCAGTACCATTACCAGTACCAACACCCGTACCACTACTACTAGTACTACTGCTACTACTCCTGCTACTACTACTCCTGCTACTACTACTACTGCTGCTGCTACTACTACGACTACTACTACTACTACTACTACTACTGTTACTACTTACTGCTACTACTTCTACTTCTACTTCTACTTCTACTTCTACTACCACTACGACTACTACTAGTACTACTACCACTACTGCTACTACTACTGCTACTACTGTATGTTGCTGCTGCTGCTGCTGATCTTGTTGATGATGACAATGTTGTTGATGCTGTTGTTGTCGTTGTTGTTGTTGTTGCTGGTGTTGCTGTTGCTGCTGCTGGTGCTGTTGCTGCTGTTCCTGTTGTTGCTGTCTTTGTCGCTGACGTTGTCGCTGTGGCTGCCGCTGTGGCTGTGGCTGTCGCTGTGGTTGTTTCTGTGGCTGTGGCTGCAGCTGCTGCCGCTCGTGCTGGTGCTCTTGCTGCTGTTGGTGCTGTTGTTGTTGCTGCTAGCAGCGGCGTTGGTGTTGGTCTTGGTGTTGTTGTTGGTGCTGTTGTTGAAGCGCTCCCAGTTCAAGCGGCCACGAATGTCGTAGGCATCAAGCCACCACTGGAGGGCCCAACCTTTGAGGTTACAACTCCCAGGCCTCCACAGCCACGCATTTGTGTAGCTAGATTGCGCATGGTCTTTGCCTGCCAGGTTTGCCCTGAGGCAGCCTCCGGTCTGTAAGTTTTGCCGTCACTGGTGGTTCCACGCATGCAACGCAGCAGGAGTTTTAAGCAGGAGTTGGCACGGTCCCAAACACCGGGTGGAGACGCAATTTTTTTCCAAGCAACTTGTCTTTGCTTCCTAGGGTTTCAGATCAATTGCTCGTTATGCCGTTGTGCAGTCTTCTTCTTGTTCTTGCTGGTCTCACTTTGTTTTTGGTTTGCTTCAAGTTGCTCACGTACAAGCACGGTAGACAAGGTTCATGCTTCTTTGCGAACAACTGCGAGTGCAGAGTCCTCGGACCGGCGCGCAAGATGCAGTTTTGCCGCACTTCGCACGTACAGAGTCTTCGGACGGCCGTGTGGCAGCAAGTCTGGTCTGGCTTGCGGCGGTTTGCGCCTAACTTGGTTTGTATATGGTTTTTGTTCAGTTGAACTTGCCCTGAAGCTGGTCAGCTCATGGAATAGCCTGATGCCCGCCAAGGTGCTGGATGACCCGCGCCAGCGTCCGAATGAATGAAAGAATGAATGCATGCATGGATGGAAACGGATGGAGATGGATGAATGGATGAACGGAGGAATGGATGAATGTATGGAATGAAGGGAACTAAAGGAACTGGAAGTCATGGGATTAACTGAATGAACGATCGTCGTTGTCGTTGTCGTCGTTTTAGGCTTTTGTTGCTGTTGTTGATGATAGTCCACGCAGTTTTGATTGAATTTTATGATTGTTGTTATTGGTATTACTATGCATCTGAATATCATTAGTTTATGTTTTGGCAGTAGTTGTAGTAGCAGTCGTCGCCGTAGACGTAGTAGTAGCAGCAGCAGTAGCAGTGGTGGGGATGGTGGTAGCAGTAGTAGGCGCCCCCCCTTACCAAGCACCTCTCTTTAACGTTGCTCTTGCGGGTGAGCGGCGGGGACAATGACAAGCATGGCAGCCCCAAGCGGTTCTTTTACTGCCGTTGTAGCTTGTGCTTGGAGTACGTGAATCAGCCATGGCCAAGAAGAAGTGGAAGCGCCCACGCAATGATGTTGATGTTTGTTGTTTCTGCGGTGTAGAGGGCTCGTTTTCCTGCATACAGCTAACTGCTTCGACCTCGTGGTCGCGCATAGTGGATGAGTCTTCCTCCTTACACTGCTCCCTGCTCGCCCGATAGTTTGTGCGATACATGGTTGGAAGGGGGGTGGCTAGTAGTAATAGTAGTAGTAGTAGTAGTAGTAGTAGTAGTAGTAGTAGTAGTAGTAGTAGTAGTAGTAGTAGTAATAGTAGTCGTCGTAGTAGTAGCAGGTAGCATGTAGCACGTGGTAGCTAGTACTAGCACTAGTACAAGAACTAATCATAGGAGCAGCAGCAGTACTAGTAGTAGTCGCGGTGGTAGCAGTACTAGTAGTTGTAGCAGCGGTAATAGCAGCATTTGTAATCGCACTAGCAGTAGTACAAGTAGCCATACGAGTAGAAGTACTAGTGAAACTGCTCGTAGTAAAAACTGATACTAGTGCTAGTTTAAAAGTAGTACTGGTAATACTACTATTAGTACCACGAGTACTAGTAGCAGCAGCAGCAGCAGGAGGAGTAGTAGTAGTAGTAGCAGTAGTAGTAGTAGTAGCAGCAGTCGTCGTCGTAGTAGAAGTAGAAGTAGTAGTAGTAGTAGTAGTAGCAGCAGCAGTAGTAGTAGTAGCAGCATCACCAGCAGTAGTAGTAGTAGTAGTAGTAGTAGAAGTAGCAGTAGCAGTAGCAGTAGCAGTAGTAGTAGTAGTTGTTGTAGTAGTAGTCGTAGTAGTCGTAGTAGTAGTAGTAGTAGTTGTAGTAGTAGGTGTAGTAGTAGGTGTAGTAGTCGTAGCAGTAGTGGTAGTGGCAGTGGTAGCGGTAGTGGTAGCGGTAGTGGTAGTCGTAGTGGTAGTGCTAGTGCTAGTAGTAGTGGTAATCGTAGCAATAGTGGTAGCAATAGGAGCAGTAGTGGCAGTGGTAGCAGTAGCAGTAGCAGCAGTAGCAGCAGTAGCAGTGTACTAGTACTATTACTCGTACTCGTACACGAGTACTAGTACCAGTACTAGTAAGAGAACTAGGAGTAGTAATAGCAGCAGCAGTCCTAGTAGTAGTCGCGGTGGTAGTAGTCGTAGTAGTAATAGCAGCAGTAGTAATCGTACTAGTAATGGTACAGTGGTACAAGTAGCAGTACGAGTAGCAGTGGTACTAATGAAACTGATCGTAGCAAAAACTGATATTGCTAAGAGTCTGTTACGTGTGTTCCGGTCTGCATTTCGGATTGGGAATCGAGTGCACTGAGTCGATTCCGGCAACGTTTGGATGCTTGGATGCCTGAATCATGCACGTGTGCGATTCGACTTGCAACGAGCATCTTCGAACGTCTCGCGGAGAGAATGGCGACCACCGTGTGCGCAAAAGAGCAACGTGAGCATGAAACTCAATCTCGATCGCTGTTCTGGGCTTTTCGCATGCTTATTTGTCATAAACACCACCCTCAGAATTGCTGGGTATTGAAACGCGATCAGTTGGTATTGGAAGATACTTTGGATCTGAGGGGAGGCCGATGATGAGCATCATCTACCTGAATTACTGGCATCCCATGTCTTGAGTGATGTGGGCCAGGACCACTGCGACGACGACGATGATCACGATGATTATGAATCTTGGTGACTGTAAACAGCGTTAGTGATGCTGCACAGGAGGAGGACGAACAAGATGATGCCCCCGGCAACGGTGACGATGATGGTGTTACGAGCACTACACACCACCACCACCAGGCCCACCACCACTACTGCTACCGCTACCGCTACCGCTACGGCTACTGCTACTGCCACTGCTACTGCTACTGCAGCCTGCAGCTGCTGCTAGTTCTATAGAAAGAGCAAGCTGATCGTTGCTCAGGGGGATGACAGATTTCGCGTGCGGTTAGCAAGTATTTATGGCAGCATCTACGCATCCTTGCGGCGTCGCTGAACGTTGACCACAGTCCTCGGTTTCGAAGACTCTGTCGGCAGGAGTGGCAAACAGAAGTCCCCACCCTGTGTCTGTGTGTGTGAGTAGATGCTCAATCTGATAACTCAGACGGTAGATGGAGAAGCCTGGTCGGAAAACGAGGACCCAATCAGAGACGAACAAACTCAAGAGGACCCTCTCGTGCCGTCAGCGTAAAGGCGGCAGCAGACAGACCTGGATGTTAGAGTAAGGTGCGCGTTCGAGTACTGTTGAATGTGGCAAACCGTGGAAAATGTACCGGTTGGGCAAGACGAGTAGTATGTTTGTGAAAGCTTCTGTGTGGAATGCTTCCGACCTAGCTCGCCTACCATGGGCTCCTGAAATGCCACAGCTTGTGCAGCGACCTTGAAAGCTTCATCATCCTCAGAGCTCTCTGCAGCTGTGCCCAGCCTGAAAGGTCAGTCGTAAGTCGTGCCAAGCGTGCTTCAAGCGTGCCACATTCTGCCCTCAAGCCTTGCCTTGGCAGCTCACGAGTAACAACCTGAGACCAAAATCAAGTCTAAGTGAACCATAGCATTGAGCAAGACGCAGCGGCGAGTCTTCTGAGCCACAAGCAAAATCGAAAAGGCGCTTTACTGGTACAGCTCTTGTAGACATTCGCTTTGCAAAGAAGTTGTTGACCTCCATCGTACAAGTTCCATCCGATCCCTGTGCTTCTGACAGCTGTGACAGGCAAAAGCTGCCGGCGTTCACGCAGTCTCTCTTGAGGAAGTCCAGTGCTTGAGGGTGATCGCTCTCCACGGACTGGGACACATCAATGATGTACAGCTTACCGTCGCTGTATAACCTGAGTCCAGCAATGCAGAAACTTTGCAAGGCTGGAGATGGCACCGGAGATCGAAACTGCTTCTCCGGCGCTTTGGCTTTACCGATCGTTAGGCTAAGTACCGAGCATGTTGTACTCTGAGAGGTCACCATGCACCAGCTTGCAGCGCTGCATCCTCCAAATCTGCAGCTGCTAAAACATGCGGCAGGCGAAGTTATACACATAGTCCGCGAAGACAGGATGCAGCAGCAATGTAGCAAACATGACGGCGCTACATTCCCCGCATGAGCACGGCACAGTCGACATATAGCTGCTCCCAGGCCGAGGCATCAAGCCCCTCAGTGTCCTGACACCACCAAGACACCACCAAACAGCTGTTTGCCTCGAACCAATACGAATTAAATTGAATGAAGCACATTGGGCGTTCTCATCTCCTTCAGTCGTGGAGCAGCATTCCCGTCGTGGCCGAGGAACTCCATCACCAGCACATTTTGGCGGACATCAACCACCTCTGCCCACGGAAGGCTGTCGATGGCTGTCGAGCGCATGATGCAATCAAGCTGTGGCAACAGATGGCACTTGGGCATTGCTTGTTTTGTAATTCAATCGCTGCTTAATGCTGCCTATATTCACAGGGAAGGGATGACCACCGGCAGACTTCTTGAAGGTGCAGCCTTAAAAAGCAAAATATGGCCCTGGCCTCTGGGCAGGGAATCCCGACGGCTGCAAGCCGGCGCAGATTTCGCATTTCCTGGCAGAACAGTTCCGAGGCAAAAGAAAAACTCAAGCTTCACCCAAAAAAGAGTCAGGGAGTTATTCCACCCTCGTGAAGTAATTAATACGAACCTTCAAATTTATGAGAAACTTTGGTATGAGAATCAATCAAAACACATGAGATTAAGTTTGTCCGTAATTCTGTAGAATAAAGCCGGATGCGACGCTCAAAAAACCATTGTAGCAAGGCAACAACAAGCGAAGCATTCGCGTGCCTCCGCGAAGAGCTGTGGCAATCGTTTTCGGTACTGCAGTGGCCAGTGCTTCCGCGACGCTTCCACACATTGTTGGTCCGTGTTTGCTCCCGTGGGCCTCCGCGCATCCTCTTTACGCCGGGTGCGGGAGCACACCCTGCGTCCTTTTGTCGAAACGTGTCTTCAATAGCTTGAAACCTTTTAGTATTTAGATGCCGCAAGCTACAACCTTTACACTACACTCTACAGAGACCTTCGAACGTTAGAATCTAGAACTGTAAGACCAAACACTACACTAGATGCGGTTAAGAAAAACTCCCACACAACAGAATTGGAAAAGGCTTTGTGTTTGAGCATGGCTGCATCGCGCCACTTCCGCAGAGCTTCCGCGGAGGCTATGTACAGCAAGCTATTTTGGGTGACGTCTTTAGGCTTAGGTGCCATTTCCAACTTTTCTTTAGCAAGGCTATGACGATATCTGCTTCAGGGATTTGTGCTCTGTGCTACAAGCCGATACTCGTTCACAGACTTTCCTACCGGCTCATTTTGCATGAATATGTCTGTTAGGGCAATTGGCGTGTGCCTTGCGTTGCGGATTCTGGGCCTGATTTGGGCTTTTCGAGCTTGCTACTCAATGCTACTCAAAGATGTTGCAATTCTGTGTCTGGGCTCCCATGTTACCGTGTTTTGACGGCATGGTGGTGAAGGATTTGGGCTGTTCGTGTAGTTGCTGCCAACCGTCGTGGTTCCTTCGAGACAACTTTTGCAGAAGCTTGGTGTGCACTTAGCGTCTTCTGCCGTGCAGGGGTCTGCCTTCTCCGCCCATTGAGCGACCATTTTTCTCGGGTTGCCCTTGCAGTAGCCCTGGCGGCAAGACATGGCCGTTCCCGGCACTTCTCGGGACTTCTGGAGCACCTGCCGGAAGCGGAACTCCCCTTCGACGTAGCGAGCCCTATCCTTGAAGACGAGAATGGACGTCTTGTAGACCTTCAAGACACAGCAATAGCACACTGCTTCTGCACACTTTTGCTCGGTTCTGAGCTAACCTTGACCGCTCGCTCGATGCCCTCGCCAGATGTGGCATAGTACACCTTACAAGAAAGACTCTTGAAGACTTTCGGCTGCCATCGAAATCTGAGCCAGTTGCATTTGCCTCCTTGCCAGTACTGATGCAGCCATGGATCTCATCCTTGCGATCAGCTGGCTTTGCGCTGTGGCAGTAGCAGCATTGACGAACCCCGTGCTTGGTCGCCCGGCAAAAAGACCACGCTTTAGGAACTTGCTGAGAACATGCATCGTTCTGGAGTCCAGGACTTGCTCCACTGTCGCCTGACTTCTTTTCGGTAGCGTGGAAGTGCCGCACTCTTCACAAGAAGTCTCCTCTCTGGGAGCTGCACTCTGGAGTCTTGTGTCAATCCAAGATTTCGGAAGGCCGCTGCCTGCTCTGCTTGCAACGTTAGCAAGAGTGTGCAGGCGGGAGAGATTCGCTGCGACCTGTCTTGAGTACCAGCAGTGTTTGTGCTGGACATTGCCGTACAATACACGAAGCGTCCATGTTATGGGGGGCCCCCGAAGCTACCACTGGCTAGTCCAGTACTCGGTGACTTATCAAACCTAAAGGCCCCAAAGGTGTTTGCCTCCATGGTTGAAGGACCACTCCAGCATGCTTCTGAAGCGTTTATGGTTTATGGGACAACTGGTTTTCGTATGTTTTCGTGATGAGGCGTCATCCAACCATCTGGAAAGGCTGGCCTTTCGCTCGCTTTGAACAGCAGAATTCTGAGCCGCATGACCTGTTGCGTACGAAACACAACTCTTGCAAGTCATCTTGACGGACTCCGATACTGGGGGGCCGGCTCATACTTCCAGCTCGTGGCAGCGGGTCGAAATTGACTCGTGCTTGCAGCCTCTGCACTGCCTGTACCGACGACAATTGTGCGAGAGGTTGGAAATAGCTGGAACCATGGCAAGCAGGCACTGCACATACCCTCCACGTCAGCAGCGATTGACCTGCTGCATTCGCTCATAGTTGTTTTCTGCTCGCAGCGACTGGGAAGTAAGGCAACGGCTTGAAAGCTCGACTCTACACAGTCGTGCAAACGCACTATTCAGAATGCGGCCATCCGCATCAGGAACGCAAGAGAACATTCGGCTCCCGTGAGGTTAGAGCAATTTGAGGCAGGAGTGCTGCTTTCTCCACAAAAAGCACGAGAATGCACGCACTAGCAAGCCTGGATGTTTTCAGTTAAACATTCCGTTCAAACGATACAGCTGTGCACAGAGATACCACTCAGAACCTCGGCAACCACCTCAAAACGGAGTCAAGAGTCGTGCCACCTGAATGACCTCACTCAGGAAACACGACTGACGCAAGACGCAAGAAGTTTGCTTGCGCAAACGCCTCAGGCTGCGAGATCCCCCGAAGGTCCGAGGCTCGGGCCGACAGTGGAGTCCGAGGCCATGTGGGCAAGGCTTGGAAGAGCTCTTCACAAGCATGATCCGTTTCCTCTTTCGCTTTCTTCGAGCTCCAACGTTTCATGGCCAAGAGAATCGCCTGAACCGTGTTGTGATTGCTCATCAGCGGGCTGTGGATTACAGGGTCGTTGTGCCCTTCACCTTCACTAAAGATTAGTTGCACATCCGCGCCAGCAGCAGACAAAACGCTCCGGAATGTCTCGGACTGTTCCTGTGGAACAATTTTGTCGCTGGTGCCGTGTGCCAAGAGCACCGGAGGCATGCGGCCGGCCAGATCTTTATCGCGACGAATTAAGACGGCTGGCGATCGGTTCTCTCGTACAGCTTCACTTTCCCCTAGCACGAGGCGCTGTAGCACAAAGTCGATGCCTTTGGCATGTAAGTGCGACATGAAGGCGCCATGAAAGTGGTAGATGCCACCAAGGCCAATGAAGCCAAGCACGTCTGAAGTGGTCCAAGACAGCAAGCCTGTTTATGATTGTGGGTGGGGCCTGGGGGGTAGTTGGGAGAACCAACAATAAAGACCAATGATGCAGGATGTTCAGGACATTTTGCAGGTCTGAAGACCAGTTCTGGGAGCATTCGCCTGGCCTCCTAGGACCTAGGCGGCCTTAGACTGCAAGGGCAAAACTCCCTCTCGCCTGGTCTTGTTGCCCTCTTCTCTTGTGCTGCCCGTCGTGTAAGGAGCAACGCAGCAACGTGTGCGCCTGACGACAGTCCCAAAATCCTTGGACAGGACAAAGAGAATTTAAAGACATTTGTCCATGCCACGAACACTGGTGACACTGCGCTGAAGACAAGCCAAGCTGCGCTACCTGTTTCCGATCGCCACCATATGCTTCACAGTGCTGAAAAGACCATGCAACAGCCTCATTAACGTCTTCCACCATTCCATCAATTGTTGTTTGCGGCCAGTAGCGGTAATCGACCGCGATGCAGAGAAATCCCACACTTCGCAATGCTCTGCAGAGCATCGTCACGTAGCCTTTATGGCCCAGAAGGAACGCACCACCCGGGACGAGGACTACCACCTCAGCAAAGCCCACTAGGCTGGCTTGCCGGCATTGTGGCCTACGGTACCCTGTAGTAGCCAAACATGTGCTCTGCAGACAGCTGCAACAGCTTGTGCCTGTGAATCTACGATGGTACTTGCGATTGATGCAAAGTCAAAGGCTCTGGAATAGGCAGCAAGCAGCTAAGTGCAGCTAATCGATGTTTGGCTTACGGCTTAGGGCTGCCACAAGAGCTACTTCCAGGCGCGGGGCCGGTGCCTTCTGTGGCCGTCCCGAGCTCGGAGCTCCCGCAAGGGCGCTTGGGAGGTAGACGTCGCAGGTATGACGACGCCCTCCCTTCTCCTCGAGACATGGGCAACATGTTACATGCAATGCAAGCTTGGCAAGGCAGGCTGCGACCAGATCCCGAACAATCTGCACAACAGGCCCTACTGCAAGAGATCCATGCAGATCCTGCCTTGTAGCTCACACTGATAATGTTCTCGCCAGCGAAAGCCCAATACATAAGTCCAAACATCATACCCGGGAAAAGGAAGATAACATACAGAACAAGCCGGGCAAAGAAGCCGGTCAGTCGCATTGTTTGAAGGGGCAGATGCCAAGCATACGTCCAGAACCACTGCAGCAGGTAGGCTCCCCATCGTACCACAGCTAGCAGCGGAACGAGAGAAGACAAGTCTTTGAGTTGCTTGTCATGGTCGCAAGCACTACATCCGTCGCCGACGTGTCGCAAAGCAGGACATTGCCTGCGCATGGCGGATTCAGTAGCCGCAGTAGCTCATACCGCCAGGCCGTTTAGGTTTGAGCCGGTAGGTCTTCCAGGCAGCAGTCTTTACTACATTCAAGCGGTCATGCTCAAGCCCTCTACAACTAGCCTAAGCGGCAGTAAGTAAGTGGTCCTGAGTCGATTCTGAGCATGGCCTTTGCCATGCTGGTCTTGGAAACGAAGGTTACGGCTGACAGGTGCGCGCCTGCTTTGCGGCAGTGCTGGTGCTAGCAATATTCCGATCGGTCCGCGCTGGACCTGCCTCAAGGAACATGCTGAAGCAGAGCAGTTTTGTCCAGGAGATTGCGAGGGCCAGTGCAAATCCACAAAAAGGCAATGTGAAGCGCTTCTCTTAGGGTATGGCTGGTTTGGACCAGTAGTCATCCCAAACCTCCTGCAGATGGCTATAGAAGACTGATTGAGCAAGGGCACTACAGCCTACCTCGTGCCAAACAGGAGCGTGTGCCGCCCCTTGCGTGTGTTTTTAAAGCCACTTGCCATGCTATGCCATGCTGGATTCAAGCAAGACCCCTTCGTGGTTATGCAGACAAGTATCCCTTTGACTGTATGTGGCGTTCCGAGCTGCGCTGACGAGCCGTGCGCTGACTTTTGCAAAATCGTGCTGCGGCATTGCGCTAAAGACTCGTCCACGACAACTCGTTCGAGTGGGAATGGGTCGGGGGTTGCATGCCACCGACAATCTATGCCGGCTAGTGAGTGAAGCCGAAATTGAAACCATGTAAACCAGGAATCGAGGAATGCAACAGGAAGTCGACAGAATGTCGGTGAGATTCGGCGATTGTCATGGCAGCTGGACGGATGATGACGCCGCTGAGGGATGCAGAGATGGATGGACGGCCAGCGGGCACCTGTGGCCAACAGCAACTCTCAAGTCATCGACAGTGGGCCATGGGATACGACCACACGTGAAGTTTCCAGTAGTAGTGTGTCCTCTCATCCTCCTGTGAACCCCTGCCAGTGGAGATACTCCGAAATCTTGTCGTGTGAAAGCAGCATCCGAAGCTGCGGCCAAGAAGGGGTCCTCATCGAAATCGCTCCCCTCTGTTTCTGCATCTGCTGCGTCTGCGACATCCTTCCATCAACTTGGAAGGAAATGCTGAGTCGACCCAGGTTGACGCCGCAAGCAATCATGTGCACTGTGCGTACTGCAGTGTTTTTTGGAGCCTGCCTCGCAAGGAGCTTCACGCGACCCAGCCATAAAGTAGCACAACGGAATCAAAAGCTTCAAGCCTCTGCTTTACCCTACACTCTACGCCTGTGTATGCGTGAGATAGTTAACATTGACTTTGCAGGGTGTGACGACAAAGATCCGCTGCAGTGGCATGCAGCAAAGCAATTCAAGAAGCACTGAACTAGCTAAAGACGAACTTATGAGCAGCGGGTTTATTCGCATGGCTTGTTGTTGCAGACTGCAAGGAACTGCTGCGTGCTCAAGCAAACTAATATGACACGGTGCCGAAGCTTGGTTGGCAAACGTTTGCTAACCATCACTTGAGGATGAAGCCGCGGAATGCGCCTAGACATTTCTAGACCGGGAGGCGTGTTCAGCACTGCGCAGTAAATCTACAAGTCCGTTCGTGCAAGCCTCAATCTGAGGAGCGGTGGAGATGCATGTAACATGAGTCTGAAGATATGTCCACTTTTCCTCCCTCGCGCATTTAGGTGACACTACTTGCACAATTCCTGGAAGGGGCCAAACATCCACTTGGAAGATGCCCGCATTGCCACACACTGAAGATGTGTTGCTGCCGCAGGCAGTGGAAGTTACGCCTCTAATCCCAATATTCAATGCCTTCCAGCTCCTGTTCGGTAAACCGGAGCCCGGAGTAGGTCTGCATAGAATTGCCTGAAATTTCATTGCACTTTCAGGTGCACTACGCAACCAGATTTCAAACCTACAGAAATAGGAAGCAAAAGCGATCTACCTCCTTAGGAACCTATCTGGTTGCTGTCAAATTGGCCGGAAGATCTCGGACCAAACCAGATCCAGCATGAAGCTCCTAAACCTTCCTCGCCTGTCTGGCTCTGCCAAACTTACCGCAGATCATCTTCGAGACCGTGCGCCCATGGGTTTGTGATCTGATTTGGCAACGAACACGCCAAAATCAAAGAGCTTTCTGTGCTGCTGTGCAGCAGGATCGCTCGGAACGCCTATGCAATAGATTGTAGCTGCGTGCTCAGGTCAGTCTATTGGAAAGCCTATCTTCACTCGTCCTCATACAGAAGCTGATGCACTTGATGCTTGCATGTAGCAGTATAGAAATGCCTAGTGCAATCACCATTCAAATTTTTGCGCCGCAGATACTACGATATCGAAGTATCGGGCCGTGCTATGCGGTTGCGAAACTGTAGCGGGCTTTGTTCCACACGAGCTGCAGATGAAAGTCCTCCAGTGTACAAGTTGCTACTAGTATCAAGAACTGGGACCTAGGAACAGACGATGAACACGCGCTCAAGCACTTGGCACTTTGGGGTTGGTTGTCAGCTGCTTCAAGCACCCACAGATGGAATTGAAGCTGACATCCACAAGCCGTGAAGCCTCGATAAGCACGTGTCCACTGCCATGCCACGACCCATCATCGGGAACAAAACAGTACAGACTTCCGACGTGCGAATTGCCAGCTCAGCTCCTCATGAGAAGCTAACACATCGCCACAGTGCTGTTGCTGAACTTCAGCCAGTTGATGAAGTCACTTTGTTTTGCAAGAAGCCGCAACTGCGGCTTTACAAACGAAGCTTGCACACCACGGCCACCTTTTGAAGGTGCCCACGGTTGATTCGAAAGAGGAGACATCACGAACCGTCAGGCTTTTCGAGGGGCCTTCATGACAACCTGACTGCATCCAGCTCAGCTGTGCATCACACAAAGTTCCTCTAAGCTAACGAAAAACTTCGGATTCAGCTCGAGATGGGTTCCGACAATTTATTATCAGTTTTTCCCCAAACCCAGGGCTGCGGCTGACAGGCAGTGCTTCAGGCTTGTCATGACTTTCTCGTGGTTCTCCGCGAGTCCTTGGCAGCACTGCAATCTTTGAGACACGGCAGCAAACAGAACATCAGATGAAAGCCGCATCTTGGCAGCAGACTGGCGAGGTGGAGGTGTGCCAGGGCCTGTCGGAGGTCATGCTACTCGGAGGGAACAGGAGCTATCAGTATAGAGCAATTAAATGCCTACCGCGACAGATCACAATTATCACGATTTTGTGGCTTTCTTATCTCTTCTAGCCCCGTTCAGCAACATCGAGCAGCGAACCTCCTTCTCTGAAGTGGAACCACTGCATCTGTGGCTGGCCTTTCAAAGTCATCGAGACCGTGCTTCACTGACCGGCAAGAGGCTTACAAGACTCACGTGATCATTCACAGAGCGGACTGAAAAAGGATGACAGCGCAGATGACAGTCGTTTGATCTAATGCACAATACTTCTGAACGCACCTTGTGCCCTCCACAAGTGTCAGAGTCATGCTCGACAACCAGGGTCGGGACCTCAAAAACTCACCATCATCACACGGCTGGCCATGGGAGCAAACTGCCTTCCCTGAGGAGGGTGCATCTAGAGCCTGTGTGAAGCAGGGCGGGATTTCCTTCAACTGCGCCATGCTGCAAGGGAGACAAGACCAAGACCCAAAACTTGGCAAGTAAGCAGATGGCTTGCATAAAGCTGCCTTGGTTTTTACTCTTGGTTATTGAAACACGATCAGAGTTAGCAATCCCTGCAATCGCGGAAGACCTCGAGAGAGCGCGCAACAGAGGTTCTACGGCAGGGCACCATCACGCGCCTCATTTTTGCGACTCCCACGTCAAACCAAGCTTGAACACTTGCAATGGGATAAAAGCACAGACCGAATGCGGCCGAACTACGACGACAAGTTCACAAAAACAACCGCTGGCAAAACATCCAGCAGAGCCGTCCTCGTGACTCTCGAGGCCAAGGACTTTCGCCTCCACTGCTGCAAGTCACATCCAGTACAGCCAGCAGTGACTGGGAGCCAAACCACAGAAGTCGAAATCCTCGGGGTGCAAGAGAAACAAGGAAGAGACCACTGGGCAGTCTCACGGTTCCATTCGAAGCTGCCGAGCATCGTCTCCCATATACGTCCATGAGTCAAAGCTGACTTGTCAGTGTCTCCATCATACTCGTCCTCCTGAGGATTTGCAGGGCGCGCAGCACTGGAAGCGTTGACAGGCTGACATGCTTCAAATCGGAGCACAGGCACGGGTGAGGGCAATCCGTTTGCTTTTACACAAGTCGCACTGTACGAGAGGTTGACATAGTTACTTTGACAAGAACGACAGAAGAAGCAAGCCAAGGAGCACTATCACTGTGCCAGCCCCGACGCATTGGCGATGAGGGGACGAACTGGATGACCTGGCGCCGAAGTGTGCACATGGTCCCAACAGATCACGTCGCAGGTACGAACAGCAAGTGCAAAAGGCTCTGCTTCGGCAGAAGGCATCAGCTTCCCCTCAAACTTATCTTTCTCCATTCGCTTGCCTCGCAAAGCCTCTCGTGGTCAAAGCTGACTCGCCTCTCTGAAAAAACAGAAACGTCTTACCATGCTTGCGTTGGTCGACAGGACATGAAATCGGAAGCTTCGCTTTGAAGGATCAGCTGCAAGCTGTGCCTCTCCGGAGCATCCCTGCAATGTGAATGAAGGCTGACGGCAACACATCTTTCGAACATGTGTCACATCAGTCATGAAAGGCTGCCAGTCGACCCCTTCAGACTTCGCTGCCGCACAGCCTGCCGGCAGCTAATGCGAGGAATCTGCTAACACGTACAGCTTGCAATGGTCAGCCAAGGTGCAGGTTTCGGGCTGCGTTGGCGTGAAAGTGCAAGCCTGATGCACCATGGATCATCCAGGAAACAAGTCTCGTTCGAGAATGGATCTTAGCCAAACCTGCGTGTGCCCGCATGAAGAGTGCCGGAAATCGAAACGAACGGCAAACGACGAGGCCCACAATCAAGCAGATGGCGTGATCCGAGGCACGGATGTCAAGGGGAGAATTGCGATGCACGACACGGAGGCTCCAATGATAAACTGGTCATTCTGATCTTGGGGAATGCAGCCGCTGAGGGAGATACAAGTCTGCATCGAGGACTTCATCGCCTGAGCTGCGCGAGTAGTACGGCCCGAGCGGACCTACTGAACATCCTAAGGATGTCACATTCAGGATTGCAAGTGTGCATCTCCATCCCGCCGGCGGCGTCCGAGCATTACACACTAAAGCAGCTGTGAACCAACTGGCGCCGAAACAAAGGGGTGAGCTCTCCAGTCCAAGCATGCAAGCAGGAGAAGAGTGCATGGAGCTCCACGGGTCATCACTGTGAAGGGAAGGTTCTCAACTTTTGCACGACCTTGCCCTCTTTTGGTCTTCCTATGTCTTCCTGGCCGGCCGCCATCCCCTAGCGGCTCGCATGGCGAAGCAATGAGACTAGCAAGTTGCCGAATAAAGTACAACAGTCGGCCTTTGGCCACCGCTTTTTACTCGCACATTCAGGTGAATTCGGCATTTGTACGGAGAACACAACTCCGACAACTCTACTCACTGAATCCCTCAAGCTGCAATGCCATCAATGCGTCTCACCCGCTTTCGAAGTGGCCCCTGTCCGCCGAGGCCCTTGAAAAGCAGAGGAATTAAAGATGTTCCGCCAGAAAGAGTCTAAGCGCTTGCATTCAGGTTGGACATGCAGGGAGCAGTGCTTTTCCATCCAAGGACACGGCGCAAGATGGACCACCGAACATTTGAAGCGGCTGAGATGGCAAAGGGCAAGTCGAAAGCCTGCAACGGCACTTGTTTGACTTGTGAATGAGAGTTAGCGCGGGCTCCTTGTGTCGAGCATGCCAAATGGCACCACCGCATACCACCGGACTTCTCTCGCACATGCTCTTGGGCGGCGAGCCTGTTCTGAACATCTGGGGCATGTAATCGTTCCAGAGCTGCAACCTGCCAATGAAACAAGCAGCAGTACTTTGCAGTGCGGCTGCTTTAGATCACATCAAGTTTCTACGACCCTGTTTACATAGTGCGAAAGCTGCCGACCTGAACCACTTCTACTGAGCTCCCACACGGGCAACCGATGTTCGCTCGAGCTTCGTTTTTGAGTTTTTGACCGCTTGATCAGCGCGAGCCCATCACGACCCGACGTGCAGAAACCACAGCACGACAGAGCAGCGACTGCGAAGCTCTTTCTGTGCATGCTGCCTGTGACGGCACATCGACACGGAAGATAATCGTACAAACCCCATTCGTGTCCATTGCAATCAGCAGGGTCGGATGGCTATTCTGAGAGCCGTCTTATTCAATTTGCCCACATCATGTCAAAAGGGAAGTGGGCTCAAGGCAAGAGCAGCCTTCTGCCCTTCCGGGAATGATCAAAGCAGAACTCCATCCCCTTCAGTGTGCTCTAGAAGTAGAAAGGACCCAGTTGCTGAGAAAGAACGGGGCATACAGAGGGGCTGCTTATCTGCAGCCGCCTTGATGCAGTCTAGCGAGAAACACCAAGCGTGTCGGAAGAGCTGCAGCCAAAGCTGCATCTGCCGCCTTGACTGCACCAGCCAATGCATCACCTCGGGCCGATGCAAAACCGAAGCATCATCCACGCTAGGCGCAGCGAACCCGCTGCAGCATCTAAGACATGCGGCGGCTTTCACGGCAGGCAGGCCGGTGCTTGTCCAACAGGTGTAGAGCCTCCCAGCTCAGTTCACTGCGTGGTCAACGGCAAAAAGCGATCACTGTGCCTCCGATGCTGCTTGCTGGCATGCAGCACGCCGAGCTGCCCTTTCCTGACCAATTTGGCCGATGTCCTGAAGGGGGGCCAACAGCAGAGGCAAGCAGTCGCTTTCTCAACGTCAGCGGTTCCTCGCTTAATCGCTCCAAGGAGAGGCCAATTGCTGCCGTCGCCGTCTCGGCCAACACCTACGGAAGCATCTGAGCAGTCAAGGTCACTACATCCCGGGGCCTGGGGTTTATGCTCAATTCTTAGACGTGCCTCGGCATGAGACAAGCCAAAGTCGCGCTTCCTGCGACATGCAAGCAATGTACACGCTAGGAGCCAAAGGTGATCGCTTGTTGCATCACCTGACCTGCCAGTGGATGCTGAGCGCGGACTCGGCGGCCTCGCAACACGTCACTGTCACAACAGGCTCGGGATAATAAGTCCAAAGGGTTTGTCATGGCTATCCGGACAATTCGATCAGCTCTGCTTGCCCGCACATGCCCGGACCGCTCCTCGTGGAAATTGGGGTACATTCCTGAGGAGGCGGTGCCTCACAGAAGGAGCGAAGTGTAGGTTTGTCTTGTACAGTAGTTGTGGGGGGACCTCCTTCAAGAAGAGAGAACCGGCCTTGTGGCGATAGCGCCTTCGCTTTCTCTCTTCACCGGCCTTAGGGCTTTTCAACTTCCGGAAAAGAAGTTAAGAAGTCCATTTTGCCGCATCTGCTGAACAATGCTGCCGGTCTTACGAAGAAGCTGCCATCTTCCGATGGAGCAGAAATGAAAGCATCGACGGCTGTGCTGTGCGAGGGCAAAACCGCTCTGCTGTGCTCAGGCTGTCGCTTGCACTGGCGCTGCCGCCAGCGGAGCCAAGGCGGCTGCCAATGCAGCAGCTGCCTCTGCAACTCCATTTGGCTGCGCCTGCTCAGTTCGCGACGCCAAATCACCGACTAGGCGCAACGGGCTCTACAAACGTACCCGTGGACCTGTCTTGAGGATTGCAACATGGTTGGCCATGCAAGCAACTGGCTTTCCTATCTGGTGATGCACTTGCTTCGTTCCAGGTTCGTATCACCTCCTCACAAAGACCGCATCTGCACACCCACTGTAAGCACTCGTACTCGGCTGCCTGTGGAGGGAAGTCGTTGACGGAAGCTCGGCCCCTGAGCAAGGTCAGGGATTGCACCAGAACTTGAACAGCAATCTGCACTGGAAGCACAGCTGCCGCTGCACACGAGGTCCGGGCTGGCTTCCATGTCGGCCAGTGACACGTGACGGGTAGACGGCAGCTTGCCTGAACAGTATTCAACTCAGAAGCCCAGCCGCAGCCCAGTATGGCCCGCCCTGGCCCGCGAGTCCCTTAAATCCAATGACAGCAGGAAGCACAACAAGTACATGTGGCGAATTAGTGCCAAGCGGCGACATGGAAACGACGTTATCCGCAGCCATTGCGCGCCTTCGTTCAGCTCACAGCTTTCCTGAAATCTGATAACTCAATCGACTTCCACCATGTCTTGGCTTGGAATGTCTTAACGATTGCTTTCTCGTCTGGCTCGATCCCGGTTCCGTCTTCTTCGCGAAACCCGTACCCTGACGGGTCATCGCCAACAAATGTTGACACAATTTACTGTTCACAACGGCCACGCTGCAAAGGCTGTCGTGCGGCTTAATGAAGTCCATACAAATTGGCTTGAGTCACCAGCATGAGCTTCCACCGACGATTCCTTGCGATTGAACTTGAAGAGTCCTGGTGTGGAGTAACTAGTGACATCTGTGTATCCTCGTTTCTCAAGTTTCTCAATGGGGCAAGAGATGTCATAAACATATCCAATTCAGATGCTCCCTATGGGCAACGACCTTCACCACGCCAGAACACGGCGTCGATCTAAGTGCAGGACGATCCGCTCGCAGCGAGGAGTTCTGCATGACCCTGCGAACCTGCAACACTTCCAAGTAGATGAAAACGCGGAATGCTGCGCCCTCCGCAAACATCAGAAGCCCATAGCTCTGCAAGCCTGACCACGAACACTGTGTCGCTTCGGGCTGCGAATGGGCCCACAAAGGCTGGGAGAGAGACGCAGGGCAAACTTGCCTCAGTCTGCACTTCGCACAAACAACTGCAAGCATCGCATGTCCCATCCGAGGGGCAGTTTCCAGTGAAGCACGGCTAACTACATCCTGAAGACGAGCTAAAGCAGGGAAGCCGCGAATCGAAACGGGAACCGGGAATCGAAACGCAAGGAAACGAACCGCAAGGAAACGCAAGAATACTGAACCGAACCGAATCGAACCGCAACGTCTGAAGTGTGAACCGAAACGACACGAACCGCCACGCCGGTCGAAACGAAACATAACGAAACGTTGTGCGTGCCTTAGTGCTTTTGGGGCATTGAGGGTTTAGGGTTGGAGGCTTACGGTTTGGAGCTTAAAATATCAGGTTCAGTGTTTTTCATGCTTTTTCGAAGGTCTCGGAGTCCAAGGCGTTCCCTAAACGCACCTTCCATGAAGAACTCTAGGGTAATTAATCAGGGTATTTACTGGGCATGCGGAGTCGATCTCAGGGCATTTTTTGGCCTTCATGCTTTTGAAGGGTGTATTATAGGGCTTGGGGTTTGCAGCTTCAAGTTTAGGGTTTCTTGATGGCTTCGTAAGGCTTCGCCAAGCTTTTCTTTGGGGTTTGAATGGCTTCATGGGCTCAAGATCTGAGGTTCAAGCAGGAAGCCCGTCCTAGCGGTGACCGGCCCCGCGGGGGAGTACAAGGTTCCAAACGTGTTAATGCCCAAGACTGCGAAACCCTGTACTCCCCCGCGGGGCCCGTCCTAGCAGTGACCGGCGCCAGGCACCAGCGGGTCCCCCAGCCCCTTCTCTCAGACAAGCCCCTGAACACGAATCGAATCGAACCGCAAAAATAACCACAACAATCCGGTGCCATACCCCCAACGAACCGCAACGATTCGATTCCTTATCTTCTGCGCGAACCGCAAACCCCGGTGAGCGAACCAAGCACCGAAACAAGGAGCTGCGACGCAGAACGTGGGTGACTCTCGGAATGAAAACCGTTCAAGGCTCGCCCACGTCATATATTCGTCTCTGATGCGGAGGATGCAGCAACAGGAAAGTAAATTGTCACTACCCCAGACCACCAACATAAAAAAGACAGCAACATCCAGGCCATCCAAGGTGCTCGGTCGGCTGCTTCGGCTGTGATCTGAGCATTGCAAAGTAGGCGTGTCTCGGGCTTGTCACCGCTACTGTGGCAGCGCAAGCTCCGATCTGTCCACTGCAATCCTAATTGGTGTCAGGTTCCCTCGCAAAGCTCTAACTCAATTTAAGATCCGTGCAGCGGATGCCATTTTGGTTGAGACGCATTGGTCATAGGAGCGCCAACAGGCCTGAATTGAGCCCTGACTCGCCGGTACTCTGCGCAGCGAGCTTGGGCACCGGCTGAGAGCACCATAGTGGTTGCGACTGGGCCTTCAACGACACACAAAGATTGCACACACCGGTGCGCAAGCGAGTCACGATGTGCCACCGTTCTTGATTGTTGACGCACAACTAAATACTGGCCGTTCTTCAGAAGATGACACTGGCAGGAGGCCTCATGTAGTCATGTACAAGACAAGTACCCTTCAGGTACGAGTACTACCAGTAGCAGCCTGGGAAGCATTGCCTTTGGCAGCTTCGCCGGCTGGCTGCGCTGCGCACTTTGATTTACAGCACTGTATCAGAAATCAGAAACCTTGCGTAACTGCCAAGCCGACAGCTTGGAGGCAGTTTGCTCGGTCCCCAGTTTGTTTCTGTGCTCTCCAACTGTTGCTGTCAATCGCCGGCTTCGTAGTCGCCGTCTCGAGACTTCTCCATGGCAGTCTCTGCGAGGACCCACGCTGATCTTGCAGGGTCTCGCACAACCTGCAGCATGGCCGCACACAAACCTTGTCACATTGGCCCGACAGCTGTCACCACCCAGCAGCAGAGACTAAGGCTGCAGCGCACTTGATGGCACAGGAGCAGAAGAGGCCTCTGCAAAGCTAGCTCGAGGTGTCCCTGACTTAGCAAGGTGATCCTCAGCTGTTGCGCCCCGAGTGGACGCATATCGGCCCTGGCCATTTCCATGTGAACGCCAAAAGCTTGGCCCTTTCTCCCTTGCGGGTGACTTCTCGTTCCACCGCTCCCGCATCGTAGGAACTGCAGGAGGAGGATGCTGCCACGCTGGCCTCTTCTCCGCATCGGAACAGGTCGTCTTGCTCCACAAACTGGCCCCATGGCGAGAAAGGCAGGCAGAGGCGGCGCCAACGCCAGCGGCGCCAACGGCAAAATACGTCGGAGTCACTCTCGATGCGGATTTGAACACCCACTGACCTCGCAGTCGCACGCTATACACATGACAGCAGCAGGCAAGGGTTTGCCATTCAGACGAAAAATACCCTTGCAACCTGCACGGTGTTTGTGTAGCACGACTAAGCTGAGCACAGGAAGCAGGGCAGTCTCGGCCATCCTTTCCAATGCTCATGACTTCGCCAGCCCAGCGTCTGGAGCGTAACCTGGAAACCTGAAATCTTGGGCTCGCAAGGCTCATGGCCACAATCTCTTCGCTTTCGAAGGATTGAGCCAAAAACCCTCCACAAACGTCAAAAACTAACTTGGCAAGATCCTGGGCACGACTTCATCAAAGTTAGCTTAAAGTGCATGATTCGCGGCAAGCTAGAACACGCCGAAGCTGCGACAGTAGAACAGCATGGCAGGTGTTCGGAATTGCCTGCGATCCACGCTGTGAGGCATCAGTGCTGGAAGGAGGGAAGTGAGATGGCGTCTGCCTGAAATGGTCGGCTCTTCGCGAGTGCATAGCCGGCTACATCAAAAAGCAAGAAAACACACACATGGGCATCCACGTGGACATGGAAGCCCACGCTTCACGTTGCGATCCGAACCTTGCGCGAGGCCCGGAGCAAAAACGTCAGTCTCACAGCACCTCTTGGAAGCCAGCTGCTCCCAGCCAGGAACCGTTTCAGACTGGGAAAGCCTGGCTTCGAAGGGCAATTCAGCAATTCCAAAGCCACCTTCTGCAGCTCGGAGATGGAGCCCACTGCTCAGGCCGCGGCGGCAGTTGTGAAGCAGGCTGCGTCGGCTGCGAGAACCTCGGCCGCAAGCCACCGACTGCCCTGGTCACATGCGTTGCTAGTCAGGCAGAGCATTTCGCAAGGAGGTCTGAGGTGCCCCTAATTCGCCACGATTAAGCTGTGGTATTGCAAAAAATTGAATGTCGTCTGTGCATTTCCTGACCCAAACGCCTCCCGCCGTATAATTGTTAGGGGGCCCTATAGCATCGGGGGGGGGAGGTGACTGGTTGGCTGACTCCGAAAACGACCCGGTAGAGAAGCCTCGTTGGGAACACTGATTGGCTCAAGGACTGTAATCTGGGTAATCTGGCAAGTCCAAAGTGTGGCTGGCGACGTCGCACTGACGATCCATGAAGGACGGCCAACGATCTGGAATTCTGAGACTCAAGCTGAGACTGCTGAGATGCCACGTCTGTCTGCGCCGCGCCTTTTCACGCTTGAACATGAAATGGTTGGACTAGACATCTGGAGATGCAGCAGTGGAAGAGCCACAGACCGTGTACCTGCACCACGGCCACGGATTGCTCTCGGTGCAGACTGCACGATCTTGCCAGGCTTCGCTGTCACCTGAACTTCAAATTTCTGCACGTTCGCTACTCCAGCCGATCCATGCCAGCATGCGTAGAGAACCGTGGCAAACTACTGGCCAAATCTAACACTCCATTGAGCAACACGGTCAATGGACAGGTGACTCCAAAACTCAAATCCCGACAAAGAATCTGCGAAGCATTGCATTAGGGAAAGCTGTTATGATGGATACTGAGGATAACTGTCCCCATCGGTGGCCTACTTACGCTTGTAGTCAGCAAAAACACATCGGCTGTTTGCGGGCTTGCCTGGCTTTGTTGTTCCCGTTAAGCCTACGGAAACCTCACGAAGATTACGCATGTCCCCGGCTCAACAGTCAAATAAACATGAAGCCCGGTGCCGAGGGGTGTCTCACGACAACGGCAAGGCCAGTAGAAAGGAATATGCAGAGCAAGAACAGAGAGCCTGGCTCGTTTTCCGTCTTTTGTGCTAACTTATGATTTGTGATGCACAGTGCGGTGCTGGAAACTTGCCGAAAGACTCCTTTGCTGGGCCACCGCGGGAATCGGGCATGCTTGCGTTCGTGAGAGCAACAGCTTAGGTCGCGCCCCCCTTCTTTGCTCTGGCAGGCCACTTCGAATGCAGAAACCTACTTATGCTGAACCGTGGCACTTCAGGGACTGGAGTTCCTTTCGTGGTACCATTGGTGCGCAAACTGAAAGAGGTAGTCAATAAACAGAATTCACAGTAACTCAGTAACTTCTTTGACACTCGCAACGAGCAAGGAAATCTTTCTTGCGCGGGGTTACCGTGTGCAGGCATGCCCTTCGTGTGGTTTGCATGACAGGGTAGCGTGAGAGAGTCGAAATATTCCCATGGACTTTTTCTTTATACCGTAGGGCACTTCCTTAGTGCACGATGCGAAGACATCCAACTCGCCTGTGGCGATGCAGAAACTTCGACTTAGCAAATGAACATAACACAGACACTGCACACATCTGCACAACTTCGCCTCAAAAACGTCGCCTATTCCTGATGTGCAGCAGCCTCACTTCGGCAAGGCTACGCATGTATTTTGAGCAAGGTTTGGGAAGAAATTGATAGGTCCCTCGTGGCCGCATCCATGCATGTTTGCATTAAGTTCTGCAGTCTGTACATGCAGCTCGGTGTGGCAACTTCTCAGCAAGTCGGTACCAAGTGACAGTCCCACGTCGCTCCGTGTGCAGCTGCGCGGCGCGGCCTGAATCGGCACACTGTCCCACATCATCTGCGACCTCCTGCGGATCAAGCATCAAGTCAAGGCACGAAGGGCGCGCAAGGCTTGAGCGGCTGCCCCGCCGGAGGACCTCGCGGCTATTGGTCCGGACAGCCAGGCTGACTGCGGTGACTGACGCTCAAAACACCAGATTCTTGCAATGAGCTCCCTGCTCGGCCGCAACCATGTCGTAGATGCGGGTGTCAGCAATGCTTTGCCAACCGATGTTCAAACTAGTTTCCCAAGACAGGGACATTGGGAAATTGGCCATCCAATCTTGACGGATCCAGGGATACACTTCGGATACTGCCCGCGAGTACGACCCCGGGTGAATGGTTGTTTACATGCGACCGCTGTTAACTTGCTTGAACCAGCTGTCGTGACGGACAAAAAGTAACTAGATGCAGCCTCCGAGCTGACTGGAACTTGAAAGGTGCGAGCATCCTACAAGGTTTTTTCCTCCGCTTGGTGAGTTCATGGATCCTGAATTCGTTGTCTGCCGTTCGCCCTTCTCACAAGAACCTCAGCTTCGAATCTGTCTGCATCAAGACGTGCATACAACCCTCATGGAGTTCACAGCATGAGCGCTGCAGAGCGCGCATACTTCGAAGAGTGTTTCTACTCCGGCTGCGACTGAGTCACTGATCGCCGCATTGAAACTGATGTCGTCTGGCGCAAAGTGGCTGGCATGCAGATTCCTCCATAATGCTAGTGTGCGGTGCCATAGCAGCAAACCCCTCTTCTCATAGATGCTCAGGGCCACATTGCAGCTTGCACTATCTGGCCGAGAGCAGATTTGAAGCTTTTCCCAACAAGCCAGTGCCTGCACCCAGCAAACAGAGTTGCCGCAGGCGGAGATGGCAGGACGATGACTTTCTTGAGAAATCTTTACCTGCCTTGTGCAGATGTGCTCCAGCAGACATAGAACGTACGACCATGCATGGCTCTTCTCCAAAACGGATGCACATGAATTGAGTGAGACGTTATCTTGCTGCAGGCCCCACCTTTCAATACCTGTAAGATATAGTGCCATCTGCCAGCAGGACGCAGCTGCACAAGTAGCAGTGGCTGCACTGCAAGCAGTGCAGTCGCTGCGATTTGCGGAGTCAGATAACAGGCTCAGGGACAGCCTCCAAAGCCCAAGATTCTTGCACGACTTCGTCACAGCGCTGGTGCAGTGTGCGGATGGCCGCAGCTGTTCCACTGGCATACATCGAAGAAAATGGACGGCTCGCGACCATGCCAAGGGCTCCAGGACTGAAAGCCATGTTATGGAGTCTCGTTGAACACCGGCCGCCTTGACCAGAACCAGAGGAAGGGCCCACGTGTCCCCAGTGGCTTCTGCTGCTATGGACCCGATGCATGTGTTCAGAGTGACGGTGTCAGGAAGAATTAGATGCTGCTGCGCCCATAGCAGAATCTTCAGAACGATTGGCCAATTGCTGCTACAAACATGAACCAAACAGTTGAAGCAGTTGATGTTGGGCCGGACCTCCTGCAACAGCATCTTCTGCAGCAGGGCAAATGCGCCTGTTACGAGAAGCCAGCGCTGCTTCTTCAATGACGCGCAAAATGAAATTTCATCAGGGCAGAAGCGAGAGTGGCATGCATGTTCCAGGCCTGCAGCTGCAGACTCCCATTCGGTCGAGGAGTAGCTGTTCTGAAGAATGTTGAAAGGCAACAAGCCAGCTTTACCCTGTGGAAGTTGAAACCATCCCATGGCTTGCAATGCGACCAGCCAGCGGCTGTTCGCGCTCATGAAGTGCGAGCAGCTCACGGAGTCTATGCGCAAGTAAGACTCGGACATCCGAGCCAAACTTCGCAAGCTGAGTGTCCACTTTGATGATCTTTTGTATGATTTCAACACTTCGCAGCAGATGATTCGGTCAACCTGCAAGCCCCTTCTGGTGAACGACAGCAGATCCAGAGCAGAGACCCACGCGCCCATGGTTGAAAGCCCCGCCAGTGTAGTGAGTGAGAGGATGTCCGGCTCAAGGTTCTGCTGAGATATCCCTTCGAAAACTGCGCCACTTTGCCGCCATCCCTTGCCTACAACACATGCGCTTAGAACAGCATTGTGGTGTGTAGCATCTGGTTCCACCAGTAGTTTTACCATCGCCCGCAATATAGATGCCGCAGCCTGCCATCCATCCAGTTTGTATTGGGAAAGAACACTTCGCCAACGAATATGTGCCAGTTTTGTGCCACCAGTCCTGAAAACTGCCAGTGCAGCATCCACTGTGCTTGGCTTGAAGAAGCAGCGGGGTACTTCTGGGTCAGGTACAGGCAGTGTGTGCGTAGATGCAGGGGAGAAACACATGCTTTTGGCAAGCCGTTGTGACGCAGTGCAGCCATGCAGTGCCCGACATGCTGCACTGCTGTTCAGACACCGCTCTCGACTACACTCCGAAACATCATTGCCAGAGAATGTCAGGACGAGGTGGTGCAGAAGAACTCTCGTCCTGGCACAAACATGTTTAAGCCAACACTCCTGCGGCAAAGCTTCCTCTGAACAATCTTCTCTTCCAAGATTGCATAGCAAGGCTGCCAAGCACGGCCTTTTCCACGTCCGGTCGCGACAGTTCCCCTGCTGTCACGCAGCTGTTTGCGCTCCTGCGCCGGACCTTGCTTTTGTCAAGCACAGTGTGAAGTTGTTTGCAGGGGCAACCCAAATGCCAAGGCAAGCCGCTTTGAATCCCGGCCCGGGCACATGCCGCTTGCGCTCATCTTGAAACGGCCCGTGCAAGCTCAGTTGTCGATTTACACTGCAGTGGCCCACTACAGAGATGCTCACAAGCTTGACGCGACTTCCACCCCTTTACTGTACAGGTTTAGTGGCCGAGGCCAAGGGCCGCGCGATCCAAACGTACAAATGCACAAGCAAAAACGAGCCAGCAGATCTGATAAACGGAAAATCAACAGGTCGAGGTCAGCCGCAATCATCGCGATAACACTCGGCTCTGCTCAGAGTGATCAGAAGGTGCAAAGACGTCCACTCTAGATCGTCTCATTTCCCCCTTTTCACAGGCACTGACGGCCGCATTCATCATGATTTGACCAACGGGAGCACGGCAAGATGGAGCTCGCAACCTGGAGGCACCCGGGTTGACCGTTTACACGGAAACTGCTCCAGGGAGACGCGCTCCCTTTTGCCTTTCCTAAGTAACAAAAGTTACGGGGCAAATGGAGGGAGGGGGGGTGTTGTACTCCCAAGCGTAGCATTCTTGGATTTGACAAGAATATGAGGGGGTGCTTGTTCGTGGACTTGCGCCAGATTGATATCTCTGCCCCACACAAAGACTTCACGCGATTCTTGGATTTGAGCAGAGAACCAGAGGAGCGAGTGCCCGGTATCAACAAGCCCAACTCCCCGATGTTTTGTCTAAATCCAGAACCCTCCTCACCCCCAAACCTTCCCTTTGAGCTCTGCTCAAACCCGAGACTACAAACCCCCCGCCGCTATACTTTGTCCGCATCCAAGAGCACAAGCCCCCTCCCGCCCCCAATTATAATCTGCCCCAGTCCTACTGTCATCACATCTAAAAGTACCAGAAGTACGAGCCACCCCGAAATTCCCAACCCCCCCTCCCATGTCTTCCTGCTACCTGAAAGGTGCTTGCGCGGGCGCTTCTGTTTCTTGAAAAGGCGCAAAAACTGAATGCTTGCTGCTTGATGCCTCCATGCATCGCAAAACCCCCTTCGCCTGGCTCGGAGAAGGCATTGTCCCAGTTGTTGTGTGACACGAAAAGAAGGTGCAGACTGCTAGCCGCTCGCAACTCGTTTCCCACTTGTTTGCGATGTAAATAACGTAGATGCTGTTGCCGACAATGCCGGGCATATACCCCCCCAACAGCAAACACGAACACGACATCCGGTAGCGATGCCGGCATCAGCATCACGACATATCACGTGCCAGCAAGGTCGGGCGGTTAGTCAGCTCTTTCCTGCCACCCCAAAAGCAACGCCTGTACGACTGAAGGCGAAAGCGGGGCGTTGACCAGCACCCCTAGCCTCATCATGCTCAAAGCTGTGCCAACGCCACATTCTGGCAGATATGACAAAGCCGACAAGACCGTTCGCTTAAAATCCTTGTCTGACTGTAGCGACCAACAATGCTGCTGGCACACAAAAACCTGTCGGAGTCCTGAAGATCCCCAATCTGTCCTTTTCCTTCAATAGAGACCAGAACGAAAAAGGCAAACATTTTCGCACGGGTTTGCCGCCATTTTTTGCAGGTGGGACAGGCTTCGGGCTGCTCGTCGTCCATTGAACATGTATAGGTCACCTTGGGAGTACCTGGTGGATACGCCGCCGGCAGGCTTCTTTGAAGCTTGTAGAGTTCCACAACTGTTGTATCGGCGGAGCACGTCGCAAGCTCACAAGTCTGTGCACAACTTTCCCGAGCTGCAGGTCCTAAGCATGTTGTGCAGCCCCGAAATCAATCATGACCACAAGCCCTGGGGGCTCCACGCTCAGGGTTTGCGACGCAGGAGGAGAGAGCATATCCCCAAGCACTGTGTGTCCAGTGGTCTCAGGCTGTCCCACGCCAGCCAAATTCATGGGCCATGGGACACTGAGACGGTGGGATGTGCCTGATCACTTGGTCCCTGATCAACTTGCGGGAGGTCAAACTGTCCATTGCGCTGACCCTGAAGACCTGTCCTTCGGTGTGACACAACCGAAAGGTTCCATAAAATGCCTTTGACCCGGGGTGTCCTGTGCGCTCACATTTCACAGGCCAGTTGGCTGTCAGCTGGGTTTGCTTGCGGGGCTCCTCCCGGCCCGACTTGCAGGCTAGGCGCCTTGTTTTGCCTCAGTTCGGTCTTTGCATTCTGGGGTGAGCCTCCACTTGTGCCAAGGCTAAATTTATCGGAAGCTGCTTATCGCCAGTGGAGCCCCGAAGGGGACCGCTGCTGCTCCTGCTCCTCCAAAGCCATTCAGTCAAAACTGGCCGTGAAAGCACACAACGAGGGCACAAGCCTGAGAGATCGATCTGTTTATGAGTTTGTGTCAACATGGAATGCATAGGGGGGCAGTCACACTGATGTATGGAGGCATGCATCACGTAACGATGCGGAGTAAGCGCAAGGCTAGAGCGAGACTACGAACCGCGAGCCAAAACAAGGGACGAACAAAAGGTTGTTGCAGAGAAAGGAGCATCAGTCCAAGAGCTTGTTGCCATCTGCCAGACTTTTCACACGCACTGATGACTGTGCTTAGTGTGATTTCATCCCAAAGTGCTTTGCTGCTGGCAATGTCCAGCGCCGTGCTTGCGTGGCACCACTCTCCTGAGTAGATACAGGCAAACAAGATCCGCGCACCGCAATGCTTCGACTAGATGCTCAAAGTCTCTTGCTCGTTGGATTGAACTGATTGCCGCATTGAGGCCTTGGCCGCATGGTGTCGCATGTAACTCTCTTCCGGGGACATCAAACTTTCACAGTCGTCGAGAGCGGCGAGTAGGGTGAGGATTAGAAAAGGACTGGATTGCGGTCGGATGTACCAGAACAGTTCCATTCAGGTTAGACACCAGTGAGATCGGCAGCGAACCTGCAAAGCTGCATTCGGTGCAGCATCTGGAATGCCCGCTTCCACTGGCCGCCTGCGATCCGAAAAGTAGGCGTTTCATCTCATCTCAGTAGCTAATCCCCCTCACTCGGAGCTCGTCTCGGAGGAGCCTTTTTCTAGTGCGCTGATGCCTGCATGATAGCCGATCCTTGGTGCTGAGCAATGCATCAACAACAGCACCGACAACCCGAACAACCAGGGCCATGTTTGCGAGATTCCTGTGAGACGAATTGTTGATCTCGGCCTTGTCCAGCAGCAGGCACCCGATCTGCCATTCTCCAGCCTTCTCACATGCACCTTGGCCACCAAGTTTACCAAGGGAGCACGAAGGATCTGCTCGCCTCTCAACGCTTAAGCTTACTGGGCATCAAGGCACTGATGGCAGCGTTGTGGAGCGTTGAACGGCTGCTTTGGTCGGCACATGTGCTTGTGATCACATGCATCTGCAACATCTCTGCAAGGAACATTACCCCCAGGTTCCACTGAACAGCTCTGACGAAGGTCGTCATCGCGCCAGTTGCACTGAACGCCGATGCAGCTATCCAGCTGTCCTGAGCTTTTATTTGAGGCTTTTGCGATCTCAAAGCGGCATGAAGAAGATGTGCCGGAGCCGATTTCTAGCTGCTTGCAGAGACTCAGACATGAGGGTAAGCAAACGACTTCCGAGAGCCCAACGATCACCCGAGCGTGATGCTGCCGAACTCGGTCAGAAGACCGCCGCTACTTACAGAGTACAAGTACCCAGTCACGAGTCGACCTATCGAACGCAGCAGCCAAGATGCGAGCAGGCAGGATTGGATTCTGCTGCAGCGCACGCGGCCATGGCAGCATCATAGATCAAGACGTCTGACCGAAGTGCCAGACTTGCAGCTCCTGGTCAAGCGGTTTTGCTTGGTTGTGCCTGCAACATGGATCAACGAAGCCGAGATGCCATGCAGAAGCAGCGAGGCCGGTTGCCACTCCGTCTGCTTTCCACATGCACTCACAGCAGCACTGAAGCTTGCGAGAGCTGCAGCCTAAGAGTTCTGAAGGATATGTGTTGGACGAGTGGATGGGGAAATAACAAGCGCTGCAAAGCCGCAGGAGCTGTACCTTACGTCAAGCAAGAATGGCCCTAGACGCTGAGAACCTGCTAACCGATTCAAAACTGTTCCTGTCAAAGCACTCAGGAGGTGGAGAGCAGTCAGCCACTCTTGGCCAGCGTCGCAGCAGCTTATCATCGCGCTGAGTTCAGTCTGACCACAGCTTTCACTGCCGAAGTTCCTGACCGATGGACGAACGGGGGACACACTGTGCAACTACATCACATGTTTGCAGATGCAAAAGATGCCCCGGTCCTTCGCAAGTTCAAGCCGAGCTCCCACTTTGCAACTGGAGCCACGCAGCCGAGTACAGCAGTCATGCTGAAGCTGTCCTGAAAGACGGACACGCTCCCCTTATGCCAGCGTAGATGTGCAAACAGCGGATCATGACAACCACGACGACTACCACGACCACCATCAGAGGACAGGGAGACCACCAGGACACCAGAGGCCACTAGATGACACCAGCAGACCCGAGGAGACAACCAAGAGACCACCAGGAAACCCTAATAAACCACCAGGATACGGCCAAACTGCTTCCCCGAAGTACTGATGCGATTCAGGAGTATGGCCACAGTGGTTTTCCCCAGTAAAGCACGGCTAAACTGCTTCGCCCAAGTACATGCGGGGTTCAGCAGCACGGCCACAAGACTTCCCCCAAATACAGTGGCGTACAGGAGCACGGTCAAAATGCTTCCCCTAAGTGCTGGCGGAATGAAGACCACAGCTTAAAATACCTTCCAGCCAAAATGCTTTACCCCCCGATGTAGATAAGAGGAAGTGAGCCGTGCACCACCCGCGGGTGCCACGTATTCTCCTTACACCCAGATTGAACCCCCTACATACTACACTGTTTGGAGAATACAAGAAAGACCTGACCTGAACATGGCAAGTTTTCTGCACACTGGATCTGTCAATGGTCCTTTGAGAGTGCAATCCGCTGCATGCAATCCCACAGGGAAATTCCAAGCTGCCACGCCCGACCTGTCACCGTGGCCAGGACTTATCTCACATCATCACTGTAGGATGCCAGTAGCTGAGCCCAGGTCCACTCCCAGCGGCTGTTCCGGCACTGTTCAACACAGCGATGTCGATTCGCAGACCCACACTCGCAGCTCTGAGAATGCAGAGAGCTTCCAGCCATGCTTGCGCCTGCTCGAGAACGAGTGCTCAGCAATGCTTAGCACTCAAAGCTCGACGCAGAAGGTTGAGTCCACTCTTTTGCGAGATTGTTAAGATTTGAGCAACGCTCAAGACGGCCTTTCCACAACAGCTGATAGCGGAGCTGCAACCAAGCTTTGTCCGAAGTCGCAGTCTCCAGGATGAACCGACCAGCCCTACAGCCGTCAACCACACGTATGCCGGAAGCACCGATTCTGCAGACCGCGCATGGACATTCAATCCCACTTGCCACTTTGAAGATTCCGGCAGTGTTGTGGCAACGAAAGCTCTGACATCCATATCCTCGTATCTCCCCTGCGAGCCTTGGCTGCCGAAAGGCTCTTGCAAACATGTTCAGCTGCAAAGGCTGTGAAAGACAGAAGGAAGCAAGCAGTACCAGGCTTGTATCAGGGCGGGTCGCTAGAGCTAGTCTGAAGATGAATGAGCGCAATGCTTCTATATGATTCAACCGTTCCATCTTACTCAAAATTGTGTAGGCAATCTCGATAAGCTTCGCTGAAGTTCACATCCCACACAGTCACTGCACTGCACACCCGCATCAAAAGGTCTGCTTTTCCGTTCCTTACACACGGACCTTCCCTAGGACTTCCTGGAGCATTCAACTTTGACAAGCGTCAAAGAGCGATACTGTGCTGCCAGCTGCGGCTTGCCGCGCATACTTGCGCAGTAGATTTCAAGCTTCCGGCATCAACTCCGCTTGTCCCCATCTGCATGTCTTCCTATGTCGGCTCACGTGCAGGAACGTTGCATGATGCAAAGATATGCGAAGAATGTTTCTTCGGCAACTGCTCAAGCCGAAGTTCCAGCATTTGAAGCGACCAGGACCAGCCCCATTTCATACCATCGAGGCCCGAGCGAAGAGCAATGTTGAATGCTCCAACTCTCAAGGGCAGTCTGGCATTCCTACATAGACCTCGGCCGTGTCAGTGAGAGAAGCAAGATGCATTAGAATCGATGGACATTGGTCATGTGTCAAAACCCCGGCCGCCAGGCATCGTATGATGCAAGCCTCTGCAACACTCATGTTGTTACATGTATGTACGTCTGTCCGGCAATCGCTCCAAACTTTGAAGACAGCAAAGATTCAATTGTACCTCAGACAAGGGTGCCCAACCTGCGTTTGGTATTGGGGATGCCCGTTCCTGACAACAACAGGTACTGTATGATTCAAAAGCAGAGTGGGGTCGTTGGCGTGCGGCGTGGACGGTGCGATTGTAAAGACGGTGTCATACCGGCGTGGTTGCTGGTCCGGGATTCGGCTTGTGGAAGCTGTGTGCAATGCAGGCAACAGGACTGACAGGTTTTGAAGCAGGAACTGGATTAGTGAGTGTCCAACCACACTACGAGCGCACTTTTTGGTCTGAGCCCAAGACGTCTGTCGTACAGGGTGCATTCAGATCTAACTCAAAAGACTACGCTCGCATGAGGACAGGTCAACACGGCGCTTCAAGACAGGGAAATTTCACACCCGTCTTATCTGTAGTGTGACGTCCGAATCATGCTCGAATTATGACCGCTTTGGGCCAAGCCTACTCCACCGGATTATACCGGGAGCTTGCGCAGTCAACCGAGCCGAGTGCGGCGACTCAAGGCTCCAGGCTGAGTTCTTCAATCGCGAAGCGGAGTGCTTTCGGTACTCTCGGTATTCTGTGCGGCTTGCGCGGGCACATCGAGCACCTGAACGAGGTTGCGATCAATGCTGTGATTGATCAGAAGCGGTTTCATACTCTTAGTCAAACAATCCGCAAGTTGTAAATGCGTCGGTATCCATCTCAACTCGTCGCCGTAAGGATGGTACAAGGCGTGCGTTAGCTCGTCCTCTTCCCAAAGTCCTTGGCGGAGTCCAGACATCTCTATGGCAAGGCGTTTATCCTCGCAAGACTTTGGAATCGACGCAGTCAAGTGATCCGAAAGGGACCTGCAGTCCGTATACTGCAGGTGGAACATCGATCTCTTGGCGACTTCTTCCCAGTTCTGTGACCGGGGCAATTTGCCGAGCAGTTCGAGCACTGCTGCTCGAATGCGGTCTCCATGCTCTATGGCATGTTGCAACGAGTAAGCCTCACATTGGAGTGTGGCGCGACAAACCCGTTTCATGGTGGACGAGGAAAACGAAATGAGGTGCATCTCATGCGTTGACGCGTTCTTGTCCACCGCCGACTGTGCGGAAGTGAGATAGTGGAAACGACCTCTCTGCGACTTATGGTTTGCCTCTCCTGCAAAGGAGGCGTCGCAAAACGTAACAATCGCCAGCTCTCCTGTATTCCAGGGTAACTTAGCGCTGTACGTGATCGGCCTATCCGCATCTCCTAACGCCAGTGCTACTACGCGGTTTGCCTCACGGAGTGTATCCACCGTAGCTGTCGTAACACGCTGCTGCAGGGCATTCACCCTATAGGCAAGATCAGGTCTCGTGGCACGGGCCACCCAAGCCAGCGATCCTATGACGGATCTCAGCGCTGTGCGCTGGCCATTCGAGACTGGAGTCGTGCCCTTTTCAGACTTATGTATATCGATCGGGCGAATTGCACGCGTGTTGTCCCTACAGTTTATACTGATGGTCCCATCGGCGCTTTGCACATACTCGCGTCCGCAGAAACGGAACTTCTCAGTCTCTATGCGACCGATCTTAAACTTATCCAGCAGATTCTGGATAGCCGGCTCGCCTTCGGCGGTAGCAGCCCACAGGAAATCATCCACGTGGGTGCACAAGCAAGCACACAAACGACCACCTTCTCCTGTAATATAGTACAGGGCTGACAGAATTTGCGAGGCATTTAAGCCAAATTCTCGGGCACTCTCCTTTATACGGAGATAAAGGTTCCGACCCGCGTCGGTCGTGCCATACACGGGTACTCGGGCAATCATATGCCCGGCTCGCTGAATCTCTGCATCGGGTACACCCTTAGGATGTTTAGGAACCCGAAGAATGAGAAGGCGCTCAAGGGGTTTCCCTTGGAAGTATGCGTTCGTTATATCGGCTGCTTTGAGCCGCAGGGCCAATGAAACCGCCCATGAACACAGAAGGGCTATGCCTTCCGGCTCAGCCGTGGGGCTGTCTGCCCTGATATCCTCCTCATTCGAGATATGCTCGAAGTTTCCACATGCGACCAAGCGTGCTTTCCACTTGGGAGTGTATGCTGGCGTCCCCTTTAGGTGTTCATTCTTATCGGTGAGGACCCATTTGGTTGGGATACACACGTGGCCAGCCTTTGTAAGCTCCTTGAACTCCTTGTCTGTGCAAGGGACCACTGCGTTGAATTCAGTATACTTCTGCCATTCAGTTTTCATGGCAGCATCCAGCCCCAGCTGTACTTCAACAGGGGCTTTGTGGTAATCGAGAAGCGAGGCCATGTAGCCAGCATCGACATTGGAGCCGATGGCGTCTTCCCCATCTGGGGTGAGAGCAAAGGCCTTGGATTCCGCCGCTCGACTATCCGAGGGCTCAGCTGCTGGCACAGTCGTGCCAATCGCAGCTGTGTGCGATGCTGCTGCCAGTCCGTCGTCTTCTTCAGGAATGTAGTGACACGGATGGGCTTCTGGCAGTCCGTTAGCACGTATGTGCTCGGCAAGTTTCGAATGCTCGAGCCATATGTGCTGGGCGATATTCCGCCGATGGCATCGCCGCCAACTGGCCTCCGAACACAACAGAAGTATTCGGTGGAAGTCATCGTGGGCCTCGCTAACTATTCTAGCGATCGTACAGAGCCCTTGGTCTGTTTGCAGGTTGGCTTCAATCCCGCCCCGATTCCTGTTGCCTAACTCGGGGGCGTGACTGTACACAACCCCTTTTGCAAAGCATGTGGCGGAAAGCTCATCACAATTGTATTGTGGATGCCGAACGCTGTACGGATGGCTTCTGCAATCTATGATTTCCTTAATTCCGTACTCGTGGATGCGCTCTAGGAACGTCTCGATGGGAAGATCAGAGTGACCCATGGTGTATATCCCATCGCCTTTCCTGCCAAAGGTGTTGGGCGCATCCCTATATATGGGGTAGCCTAAGTCCGACAAAAGCTGTATGTCATCTTTAGACAACTTGCCGAGATCACTCACCGTGTATGCGGAGAGACTGTATCTTTCTCCTACAAACGGTGCGACCATGTGCACGTCCTTCGGGCGAAACTTAAGAACCTTGTTCTTAGTATCGTGGACGGTGCCATACATTGTCGTGTTTTGAACACGCACGGGGGTTGTACCCGTGGCTTCTTCCACCCATAGGCCGCCTCCACGATACTCGCCCACACCTATAGTGTAGTTATGCGAGCCAGGAGTGTTCGCTAGGTCTCTATGGGCCTCTGCGCCTCTGTTGGTAAGCTGAACGCTACTCCACTGTGGGAGATGATGACCGGCTTGCATACTGTGATGCAAGATGTAGTGGTTGAGATACATGGCGAACGACGGTCTCTCGCGCGTTGGTCCAGAAACACCAACAAGACCACCGTGCCGATATACTCCCACCGCGAGGGCTATGCACCCGGGATCTCCATCATCTAGGAGCGGGCGCGTGTAAGCCTCGCGTCGGTCGCGGTCATAGGCACGAAGGAGGGCCAGACACTCATCCGGGGAAAAACCCTGAGTATCTATCAGGCCTTTTGCCATGATCTCTACTTGATCAATCTCTTCCGCAACTAGTGCATCATCACGGCCTCCTACTGGCGATCGCGACCGGGCGGTTTCGCCCGTCTTATCTTTGGCGCGAAACCTTGCAGGTGTGGATGGCGCTGGCATCGGTGTGCCGGGCATCATCGCTGGCGTCGATGGTGCTGGCATAGGCACATCGTGCGCGACTGCCGGTGTAAGCGGGGCAGCTGCAGCCACTGGACGTGGCGTCGCTGGTGCTGTGACCGGGTCTGCTACGCGCTCATCCTGGAACCTTTGTTCCGGTCCATGAACAATGGCTTCCGGAAGCACTGGTTCTCCTGCCAAAACGCGGTGCGCTGCAACTTCAATTTCATCAGCCGGGCGCATCTTCCTAGCGTTCACAAGTACAGGGATATTCTCGTGTAATACCCAGTACGCATTCTCTGCCTCACGTCCTATGACGCGGCTAACCGTGGACCACACGACACCTGGGCTGCCAGGGACGTTATCCCGACGGTAAATAACTAAATCACCAACCTTATAGTCAGTGTCTAGAGGGGCTGCATTACGCTGTAACGCCTTGGCCACTTTGCGGGAAGTCTCTAAGTGGACAAAGGCCTTTTTGGCTTCTTGCCGTGCTCTGTGCCGAATGTAGTATACACTCGTCTCATCATACTTGGTGAACAATGTACCAAGGCTTTCGGATTCATCTAGCACTGAACCCGGTGTTCGAGGCTGCTTTCCCAACACGTGTTGTGCTGGGCTAAACCCTTGGTGCCTACTAAGCTCGTTCTTAGTAGTAACACTTTCGGTAACGACCGCCTCCATCTCCTCGATATTCGAGGGTTGAGCCTCCTGCGCGACTTTCCTGATGATGGCCTTAGCAAGTCCACCATGGCGTTCGACCTTTCCAATAGTCTGCGGGCTCTCAAGAGGGGCGTTCTTATGGGTTATACCATGCTGTGCCAAATACTCTGAAAATTCTCCCCTGAAGTGCGTCCCTCTGTCAGTGGTTATGACTTTGGGATGTCCAGCCCAGCTGATCCACCTGTCGATCAGGCATTTCACACACTGGCGGGCACTTGGGTTACCACCCCCAGATTTCACGAGCACAACTTGCTGGAAGCTTGTTCCCATGTCAACTATATTGACAGCAGTATAGCGATTTCCATAGAAGTCTTTGACCTCTAGCGCATCCATACCTATCGTATGGTTGAACTCCTTAGGGAATACACTATCGCCTGCGACAGGGTGATGCCTGGGCACTGGAGCTGTGTCCAGGCAGACCTTACACTTGTAAAGTCCGGCAGCGGCGATGAAATCCTTGCT